GGGGTTTGGATATATGCTATGGGGCTGGAGTGGTGCTATGAGTTGGATAGGCTGTATGGTATTGGAGGGGATGCTATGGGCTAGAACAGGAGTTGTGGGACTGGAGAAATTGCTAAGGGGTTGGAGAGGGGGTGTTGGGCAGGGTACAGTGGGATGCAATGGGGCTGGATGGGTGCTAAGGGGCTGGATGGGGTGGGTGGTAATGTGAGACTGAGTGCTATACAATGGAGCAGCCATGGGGTCAGGCCCTACTCCACACCTCCAGGACCTCTTTGCCTTCCTGGCTCAACCCAACGCCCTCCTGCACCTTGACCTGGCTTCCACTGACTGCGCCCTTGATGTGGTGAGGGGCTGTGGGGTCGCCATGGGGCTGCCGTGGGGCAGTCGTGGGGCTGATGGCCCCCTTGTGCCTCCCAGCTCTTCGGGGCGCTGCTGCACGGCTGTTGCTCACGGCTCAGCTACCTCAACGTGGCCGGGAACAGCTTCTGCCACCGGTCAGCTCCTGCCCCACATGTCGATGGTGGCTGTGGGGCAGGGGGCAGGTGGGGCCTGGGGAGGCGGTTGGGAGCCCATCGGAAGTTGGAGTACCCTAGTGGCCAGATAGGTTGTCCAGAATGTCATTGGGTGGATGGCCATCTCACTGTGTGGTAGAGCATCCCGTTGGGTGGTGGAGAACCCCTGTGAGCACTGAGTGCCCCATTGGCCGATCGAGAAATGCCATTGGGCTGTTGAATAGTGGAAAGACCCCTTTGGGCATTGGAGCTCCCAGCTGGCCAATCTCTTGGGTGATCTGGAGCAGCACTGGGTGGTTGAACATCCTGTTATGTGGTCAGGAACCTCACTGGGTGGTCAGGAACCCCATTGGGTGGTCAGGAACCCCACTGGGAGGTCAAGTACCGTGTTGGGTGGTCAAGAACTCTGTTGGGTGTCCAAGGGCTCCATTGAGTTTTGGCCCGACCGGTTGGCGCAAGGAATGCCTGACTGACCCCAGATGAGTGGGGCTGATGGAACCCTGCTTCCACCTCCCCCCAGGAAGAGCCGTGAGGTCCCACCCACCCTGCAGCAGTTCTTCTGCAGCACCTTTGCTCTGTCCCACATCAGCCTGGCAGGCGTGCGGCTGCCCCCTGACGCTCTCAGGTGAGCTTCGCCCCCTGGGGTGGCCCTTTGCCTTCTGGGGAGACGGAGATGTGGGAGCACCGTGACCTGCCCTCCCCAGGTCTCTCCTGCAGGGATTGGCTGCCAACACCCACCTGAGCGACCTCCACCTGGACCTGAGCAGCTGTGAGGTGGGGACGGGGGGCACGGCCCAAGGCGGGAGGGGCCTTGTGGGCACCCTCACATCGTTTTCTGTCTCTGTCCAATTCTTGGTGCCATCTTACAGCTCCGCTCGCCGGGTGCTCGTGTGTTGGAGGAGCTGCTGGGGGGCATCAGTGCCGTGGGCAGCCTGGACCTCTCAGACAATGGTGAGAAGAGGGAGAAACCCCGTCCTGGGGACTGGCCTGGGACCCCCCGCTGTCTCCATTTCTCCCCACACTTCTCTCAGGCTTTGATGCCGATTTGCTGACGCTCGTACCAGCCCTGGGGAGGAACAAGGCGCTGAAGCACCTCTGGTTGGGCAAGAACTTCAGTGTCAAGGCGCGGTGAGTGCCCTGCTGGCCTGCCCTGGTTCCATAGGGCCTTCTGAAGGACCTCCTCCCCACCAGCCCTGGAGGAGGTAAGCAGAACCATTGTTGGGCTGAGCCCAAGGAGGTCCACTTAGATCCCAATGGCCAAAGCCGTGTCATGGAAGCCCACCGAGACCCAATGGGCCATGCTGTGCCCATGGAGGCCCACCAAGACCCAGAGTTCTCATTGACATCTTCTGAGACCCCAAGGGCCAGGTCGTGTCCATGTCCCACTGTTCTTTCTCCCCCCTTCAGAACACTGGAGGAGATCCTCCACAAGCTGGTTCAGGTCATCCAGGAGGACGACTGTGTGAGTTCCCCAGGGGACGGTGGGATGGCAGGTGGACACCCCTCCTGTGGATCCCCCAGGCCCCATCTCATGTTCTCTCTGGCCTTCCCGTAAGTCCCTGCAGTCGCTGTCAGTGGCTGAATCGAGGCTGAAGGCCAGGACCTGTATCCTGGTGAACGCGCTGGGCAGCAATGCCTGCTTGGCCAAAGTGGACCTCAGTGGTAACCTCATGGAGGACATGGGCGCCAAGATGCTGGCCAAGGCCCTGCAGATCAACAGCACCCTGCGGTGGGTGGGTGGTTTCACGGGGGGTTCAGGGGTGGTCTCTCCACCCCGATGTCACCTGTGGTCCCATGGCAGGAGCCTTAGCTGGGACAGGAACAACACAACAGCTGTGGGCTTCCAGGACATCGCCAGGGCCATGGAGAGGTGAGTGGGACCACCAGCATATTATACTGCAGGTGGACGCCCCATCTGGAGCATGTGAACATCAGGTTCAAACAACCAACCGGATCTGGACATGATACCTGGATCTCCAGACAGGTCAACCAGTTTTTGGACCTACTTGTCAGTTCTAGACTGTGCAACTGGCTATTCCATACAGGTTGATGAGTTACCAACTGATTTTAAACTGGTCAACAATTTTTAGACTGGGCAACCCATCGCAGACAAGTCAGTGGGTTCCCAATTAGTAAACTGGTTCTAGACTGGTCAACAGTGTCTAGATCAGACAACCCATCCCAAACTTGTCAATTGGATCCCAACCACTCAAATGCTTCTAGACTGGTCAAACATGTCTAGACTGGACAACCATCTTAGAGCAGTCAACTTTTCCAAAACGTCAATGGGATCTCAGCTAGTCAACTGGTTCTGGACTGGGCAACCGTCTCTAGACTGGTCAGTCATCTTTAGACCAGTCAGCTCATTTCAGTTCAGTCAATGGGATCCAGTCTGGTCAACTGGCTCTACGGTGATCAACCAGCTGTTGACCAATCAACCTGCTGTATTCCATTGTCAATGGAATCCCAAGCAGATCCGTGTCCTCTCAACAGCAACCACACATTGACCTTCATGGCCCTTCCCCTCTGCGACCTCACAGCCGCCTACCGTAGTGCCCCGGAGCGGACAGACACTGGTTGGCAGCAGGTGGGTGGAGGCACCTGGAGATTCTCTAAAATTCGTGTCTGGGAGCCTCAGGCATCCCATTTTCCCTCCTGAAGATCCAGTGGTGCCTCCTACGCAATGGCCGCGGTCCCAAGGTGCCACCAGAGCAGGTGCTCCGGCTGCAGCGGGGCATCGTCACCAGCACGGCTGAGCAAGTAATCTTTCCCCGGGGACATGGGGAACCTGGGCACTGGGGACGCTTGTGGGGCAGGAGAGGGCATGTGGGGCCAACTTGTGGCAGCCGTGGGGCAGATGGGGGAAGTGACGTACAGGATACAGGATGGTGGCCAGAAGGATGCTTGGGTGGTTACTGGGGTGGCTGCTAGGCAGCTTTTGGGGTGATTGTAAGTGTTGCTGAGGGGTTGCCTTGGTGGTTTCCGGGGCAGTTGCTGGGGCAATAAGAGCAGAATCTGCTGTTGTTTCTGGAATGGTCGCCAAGATGAGAGATTGTCAGAGCAGTTGCGAGGGTGGTTGCTGGAGCGGTAATCGGGGTGGTGGGAAATATTCCTGACGTAACGCTGGGCCGATCGCTGGGGCAATGGCAGGGTTGTCGGGTGGTTGCCGGGGTGATGGGAGGTGTTGCCGATGAGGGGCCGGGGCAGCTGCTGTGGAGGTTGCTGAGGTGATGGGGGCGGTTGTCGAGGGGATGCCGGGATGGTTGCCAGTTGCCAGGGTGGTTGCCAGGGCTGTTGCCAAGGAGATGTGCTGCAGATGCTCTGCCGGCTGAGCGGCCGAGTGCAGGCAGCGGCGCGGGGGCTGCGGGGGCACCCAGGGGCACAGAGGGACCTTGCAGAGGCCCAGGAGCTGCTGCGGGAAGCCAGGAACGCCCGGGCGGTGAGCACCCCAACAGCATGTCCCAACAGAGAGCGATTGGAGCCTGCGTGCCCCAAGCCCTGAAACACCCCAAAATCCCCACCACAAGCATCTGACCCCCACGTTGAAGCATCTTCTCCCCCCTAGAAAATAAAACCCTCAAAGAACCCCAGCAGCATCCACAGGACCCCAACATCCCCCCCCCATTTTTAGCGTATGACCACTAAATTGAAGTATCTCCCCAGAAAATTGAGCCCCCAAAGCGCCCCGGGAACCCTGCAGAAATCCCCTGTGTGCCCATCAGAGTTGGAGTGTCCCACTCCCCCGTTGAAGCTCCTCCCCAGAATTGAAGCATTCTCCCTCAAGGAACCTCAGAAACATCCCCCCAAAATAGCGTCACCTTCAAAATAGAAACATCTCACTCCAAAATTGAAGCTTCCCACCCAAATAAAGAGAGTCCTTAAAAAGCTCAGAATCTTTATAGAAATAAAGCACACCTCCCCAAATGAAGCATCTCCTCCCAAAGCTGAAACATCTCCCCCCACCCTGATGAAAATAGAACTCCCCCTCAAAAAACAGAAGCCCTCCCAAACCCCATCGCAAACCTCCCTCCAGAACAGTGCTCTTCCTCTCAAAAATGAGACCCCTCCAAATGAGATCTGCTCCAGCACCACAAAACCAGACCCCTGACAGCCCCCATTGGTCCCAAATTTTCACCATGACCTTGTGACCCCCCCATGGCCCTATGACCTCCTATGAATCCCACTGCTCCCCCGTGACCCAGGGACCCCTATGATCTCCCATGAACTACGATACCCTGTGACTTCTTTGACTTCCCATGACCCCATAACCTCATGACCCCCATCACTCCTACGACCTCCCATATTCTCCCATGACCTCCGTGACTCTCTTGACCCCTTGCATGACCTCCCCCCTTTTCCTGCCCATAACCCTATAACCTCCCTTTTTGAGGAGTAGGAGGGAAATGCACAGGCAGTAGGAGCAGGTGGGTGCCCTGGGAAGAGTGCACAGATGTCATCAGGAAAGCCATGGCACAGATGGAGCTGCGCTGGGCCAGGTGTGGCAGATAATGAGGAGGGATTCCGCAGGTCCCTTGGTCAGAAGAAACAGTGAGAAGTGTGCACCGTCTGTGATGGATGAGAAGGGGGCCAAGGCAGCAGCAGGCACGGAGGTGGCTGAGGCACTCCATGAATTCTTTGCCTCGGGCTTCGCTGTCAGCCACGTCTCACACATCTCTCCAGGCGGAGCTGGGGGAGCAGAGTCCCTCCACCGCAATCAGGGAGCAGGTTTGAGAACAGCTGATGAGACCGAATGTGTGCAATCCCTGCTGGGTCCAGATCCTGCTGTGGGAGGTGTTCAGGGACCTGAAGGCTGAGCGGGCGATCTGAGAGAGCACGGCTTCCCCAAGGGCAGCTCATGCCTTACCCACCCGGTGCTGTGGTGGAGCGATGGCTGCTGCAGACCAGTGCAAAGCAACCGTTGGTGTCATCTGCTGGGACTCCTGCGGGGCTGCTGGCATGGCCCATATCACACCTCCCGTGTGGGAAGATACGGATTTCACCATTCCGTGGGCGGCTGCAGCCCGAGGGCTATGGGCAGTGGCTCTGTGTCCGGGTGGAGGTGCTCACAAATAGCGTCCCCAGGGGTCCTCGTGGGAGCGGCGTGCCTGAGCATCTTTATCAGGGATTGGATGTTGGGATCGGCGTGCCCTCAGCTTGGTGATGACCCCACGTGAGTGCTGCATGGACACAAGCAAAGGATGTTGATGCCACCATCCAGAGGGAGCTGGACAGACTCAAAAAGTGGGCACGTGTGAACTGAATGAGGGCCAGCGGGGCCAAGTGTAGCTGTTGGGTCGGGGCAGTCGCAGCTGTGAGTACAGAGTGGGAGAAGAACGGCTTGAGAGCAGCCCTGCTGAGGGGGCCGGGGGTCCTGGAGGGTGAAAAGCCGGATGTGATCCAGTGCTGAGTGCCAGCAGCCTGAGGGCAACCGCAGCGCAGGCTGCGCCGACGGAGGGCGGTGGGGCAGGGAGGGGACCGGCCCGTCTGTCTGCCCTCGGCAGCCCCATCCGGACCGCGGGAGCCGTGGGGCTGCGGGAGCGGGGCCGGAGGAGCACGGGGACGGCCGGGGGTGCAGCTGTGTGTGGGGAAAGGCCGAGGGAGGCGCTGTGCGGCCTGGAGAACGGACGGCTGCGGGGAGACCGCGCTGCGGCATTCCAGTACTCGAATGGAGCCTCTGGGCAGGAAGGGGAGCCGACTTTGAACGGCCCGGCGCTGCTGCCCGGAGCTGTGGGTGCCCATCCCCGGAGGTGCCCGGGGCCATGGATGGGCAGCCCGAGCTGGGGGGCACGCAGCCCAGGGCAGGGGTGGGCCTGGATGGTCGTTAAGGTTCCTTCCAAAGCAACCATTTCATGGTTACTCCCCACAACCCCACGACCTCATCACCCCATGACCTCACGTGACCCATGACCTCACATGACCCCATGACAGCCATGACTGCCACGATCCCCTTGAACTCCATGACCTCTATGACCTCCATGCCCCTCCATGACCTCCTCCGACTCCATGGCCGCGTGAACGCCCTCCTGACCCTGTGACCCCACAGCTGTTCCCCAGCCTGGCAGCGCTGGGACCGGCAGGAGCCGGAGCGGGGCCGCTGCAGCTCCTCCTGCAGGGCGTGGCTGGGGACGTGGCCAAGGCCGTGGACAAGGAGCTGGAGGTGAGCGCTGGGGGAACTGGGAGCGACTGGGAGGAGTCTGTTGGGGAGCTGGGAGGGAGTGGGAGGGAATGAGAGGCGTGGGAAAGACTGGGAAGGATAAGGAGGGAGCTGGGAGGAACTGGGATGGAATGGGAGGGACGAGGGGGGCTGAGAGGGAACAGAGAGGGAACTGGGAGATACTGGGAGGGAACTGGAGGAACTGGGGATGCTGAAGGCCCTCAAACCCCAATCGGGAAGGGAAAGGCCTTCCAGGTGCGGGTCCCCTCACCGGAAGTCCCCCTCCCAACCGGAAGTCCCCTTCCCCAGGTGCTGCTGGAGGCGCTGCTGGGTCGGGCCGCCGAGCTCTGCCCCCGGGCGACGGCGGCTGGGGTGTGGCCCGGGGGGGCGTGGCTCGGGGGGGCGCCTCGGCCACGCCCCCCGCTGCCCCCCGGCCTGGCCCCGGGGGCGCTGCTGGAGCGGGCAGGGGAGGAGATCCGGGAGCAGCTGGGGTAAGGGGGCACTGGGGGGACTGGGCGCACTGGGATGGGTGGGAGCGAGGTGTAGTGGAAAGGCGCTGTAAGGGCAGGGGGGAACGTTGGGATGTATTGCAAATGAGTGGGAGTGTGTAATGAGAGTGCTGGGATGGTCAGAGTGACTGAGACGGTGTTAAAGATGACTGGGAAGGCGCTGAGATATACCAGGAAACCACTGGGATGGACTGGGATAGATTAGGAAGTACTGGGAGAGCAGTGGGGTGAACTAGGATAGATTCAAAATGACTGGTAGGGCACTGTGAAACGCTGGGAAGCCACTTGGGAAGTGGCAAGTGGGGCATACTGGCAGGATGCTGGAATATAGTGGAATACAGTTGGATGTACAGAGAGGCACTGGGATATACTGAAATGGCACTGAGATATTCAGGGAGGGCACTGAGGGTTGCTGCGGGAGTGCTGAGGGGAACTGGGAGGCACTGGGACATACTGGGAGGGATGTGTGGGAAACTAGAAGGAGATCAGGGAACACTGGGAGGGGATTAGGGTGCACTGGAATGTAATGGGAGGGCACTGGTGGGCACTAGAAGGGGTGCTGGTGCCGCTACCACCCCAAGTGTTCCTGTGGTCAGAGAGGTGCAGCTGGCGCTGGTGACGTCCCTGACCCAGGCAGTGGTGGCTGAGCTGCTGCGGGAGCTACGCCGTGTCCACCAAGCACTGGTGAGTCCCCCCCGATCCTCCAACAGCCCCCTGGTCCTCCATGAGCCCTCAAAGTACTCCAACACCCTCCAATGTTCTCCAATACCCATTGGGTTCTCCAACATCCTCTGGAGACCTCCAACCCCTGAGACTTTCCAAGATCTTTTGCGTCTTCCAACACCCTTCAAGGCCCTCTTACATTCTGTGGTGCCCTCCAATCTCCCAAAGTCCTCCAGCATCCTTCCTGTCATCCAACAACTTTTGGGTCCTCCAACACCATTGAGATCTGCAAACACCCCCTCAAGTTCTCCAACGCTCCTTTGATCCAAAACCCTACAATATCCTCCAGCCCTCTAAAATCCCCCCATGTGCCTCCAGGCCCAGCACCTGCAGGATCCGAGGAGTCCCCAGGGGCAGGAGCCATCCAACAGCACCGATGAGGAGCTGGGCGTTGACGTTGTAAGAAGAAGGGCAAAAGTTGGGAGGATGCAGTTTTGGGGTGTTGGGGTGCCCTGTGGATCAGAGGGGAGATCTGGGTGGAGTCCATGGGCTCTGGAGACCCCACTGCATATTTTGAGTGCCATGAGAGTTTTGGGAGGAAGGCAGGGGATCTGGGGAAGTTTATACATGGGGGTGGAGCTAAGGAGTTTTGGGAGTCTCCTGTGGATTTGGGTGTACTTAAGGGTGTTGGATTCACGTGACAATTTTGAGATGAAACCGAAGGACTTTTGGGTTCTTCCCTTGGAGGATGCACCGACGCTGCAGCGGCACAGGCGCTGCTGCCGCCGCACCCGCCCGCCTTCTGCCTTCATGGGTGAGCACCTGCATGGCCGCGCACCATCACCTGTCATTGAACGTCGTAGTGCATTGTTACCCATCATGGCAAATGTCACTGCCCCCAGGCCAATCCGAGGGCCTGGAGTCACCGTCGCCCCCCAGGAGCTCTGAGGGGGATGCCAAGCCCCACCCACTGGTGAGTAGCCCTGCCTGCCATGACAGAGCCCTGTCCGTTGGTCCCTAGCCCTGCCCACAGCCCCGCAGCCTGCCCTAGGGGTGCTGTCTTTAGGCTTGTAGCCATGGCCACTGCTGGACACGCCCCCAGGCACATCGCCACGCCCCCAATCCCACAGCCCCGCCCCCATCCCATAGCTGTAACCACAGCCACTTGGCCCCGCCCACCGGCACATAGCCCCGCCCACATAGCCCCGCCCACAGACACCCCTGTTCAGCTCCTCATGGCCTCGCCTCCAGCTCGTGGCCCCGCCCCCTGTCTGCAGCCCCCCCTCCTTCTCTTGGCCACGCCCACCGCCCAATGGCCCCCCCTGTGACCTCAGACCCACTAAGCGTCCCCTGACCACGCCCCCAAGATCTTATCCCTGCCCCTCGAGGCCCCGCCCCCTGGGTAAATGGGCGTGGCCTCCCTTAAAGGCGCCGTGCTTCTCCTTCCCCCAGCACTTCAGGGCCCCGGAGGCGCAGACTGTGGGGGGCTCCCCGCAGCAGGAGGAGTTTGGCCGGTGAGCTGGGGGTGAGGGATTGGGGTGCAAGAGGGCGTTCCCAAGGTGATGATGGAGGGATCATCGGGAACTGGAGGGAGAGGGGAGCTATTAGGGTCCAGGAGAAGGCAACTGGGAATACTGCAGGGGGATCATGATGAATTAACTGGGGATCATAAGGTGCAACTGAGGTCTTCTGGTGCTGTGGGGTACAAAAATGGGGTAACTGCGACTTTAGAGGGAGTAAATGTGGAAAGTCTTATAGAGGTAGTGTGTTAATCTGTGATCCTGGAGGGGTAGCTGGAGTTGAGAGGGCAATAGGAGGGTTCTTGTGGGTCACACGGTCTGTGTCGCCCCTAGGCTGCCCCCCACAGTGCCTCCCTATCCCCAGGAGCACAGCTGCAGCCCAGGCTCAGAGGCATCAGGTGGGTTCCCCCTCCCAAAAGCTGCCCGTGATGCTTGAATCCTCCCATAAAGCCAGGGATTTCCCCAGAACCCTCTTCACGAAGAACACCCTCGCCAAAATTATTTTTCTCTCTCAAAAACGTGTCTTTAATTCACATTTCCCACCGCAGCCCCTCCGGAAGCTGGCAGCCTCGGCCTGGAGTGGGCAGGGCTTCCTTCCCCACAGACCCCGCCCCCTCAGGTGAGTGGCAGCGCGGGGTCAGCCAGGCTCCGCCCCCCGCCCGGAGGAGAGCAGCCCTGGGGGGCGGAGCTTATGCGTTTCAGGCTCCGCCTTCTGCCTTTCTCCAGGCCCCGCCCAGGATGGCGGCGTGGCCCCACCAGAGCTGCGGCGGCGAGGGAGGGGGCGGGGCCACCCCGGAGGCCACGCCCACTGCTCCCACAGGTGAGGGCAGTGCGAGATCCAGCGATAGCGGGAGGGGCGGAGGGGGGATCCGGAGGTGCGCTGGGATGCCGGAGGGGTTCAGGCGGCGTTCCTGGAGCGCTGTGGGATGCCGGAGGTCTCTGTCGCAGGGACCTCAGACAGGAGCCGCCAGCTGCCCCCCCCGAAGCCCCAGCGGAGGCAGCGAGCCCATTCCTGCGACAAGGCGGACGCCGGGCCCGGGCCGGGGGGAGGAGGTGAGGCCGCCGCGGTGCTCCTAAGGGGCCGCCGCTCACCTCACCGCTCGAACGGCCACTTCTCCCCACAGGCACCTGAGGGGCGGGCAGGACCTCGCGACGGCCGCTCTCGGATGGGAATAAACTTTTATTGAAGAGAAAGCTCGGGAGGTCTCGTTAATGGCATTAAAACCACGGCGCCCCGCCGCACCACGCAGCCGCGCGCTTCCCGCGGCCGCTCCGCTTTTCCCGCCCTTTTAACGGTTTCCCCCAGGCTCTTCCCGCCCTTCCCGGAGCTCCGCCCCCCCCATGGCGGTTCCCCCCGCCCGGGATTGGTTCCACTGCAATCGCTGCTACCGCCAGGAAGGCGCCCGCTTCTCCGTCACCAGCTGCGGGCACGTCCTGTGCGAGGCCTGCCTGGGTGCAGGTAGGGATCCCCGCAGAGCCCCTCCCAGAACGGAGCAGAAAGGAGGTTCCAACTCCTGACCCGTAGAACGACAGCAAAGGGCCCCCGTGCCTTCAGCCCCACACAGCGGTGGCGAGGAGGGACTCCGTGTTCCTTCCCCACAGCTGGGGAACTCTTACCCTCACGAAATGCCCACCCTAATCTTTAGCCCACGCACAATGGAGGCACGGAGAGCCCCACCTCTTTTAGCCCCCCAAACAACCCCAGCTCCGTCCTGCTCTCATGGCTGCAGGCTGGGCTGTTCTGGGGGGAGGTGGGGGTTGTGCCCTACCTTCTGCCATGTGTGGGCCTTCAACCTCCTCCCCACACCACAGGGCCGTGCCCCATCTGTGCTGCTGTGTGCCGTCGCTTCCCCATCCCCGAGCAGGTGAGTGCCCCCAGCACCATCATTTGGGTTACCCCCAGCACACCTGGAAGGGTCCATTTCAGTCCCCTTTTCTGCACACTCATAGGACGCCCTTTTGCACCTCCCTCTTCACTTACACACGTGTGCAGGCTGCCATTTTGTCACACCCTTCCCCCTACAACCAGAGGCTGCCGTTTTGTACCCCAGTGGGCTGCCACTTTGAAGGCACACGGCCATGTCGTCCTTCTCCCCCTCCTTCCCCCACTTACAGCTGGAGGAGGCGCTCTTCTTAAAGAGCCCCGCCGCCATCGCCCGGCAGCGCTTGGCACACATCTCTCAGGTGAGCACACCCAGGGGGCTCCCCACCATCTATAAACACCCCCAAAGCACAATGAACCCCAAGTTTCTCCCCTTAGGCCTGGCGCTTCCAGCAGGCACAGGTGGACCTGCTGCTTGCCTCCCACCGTGACGCAGCGCGCCGGGCTGAGGCGGCTCTGCGGGACACCCGGCGGGCGTTGGACTCCAAGCAGAGGTGAGTGTTGCTGCCTGGGGGTGCCCTGTGCCCAAACCCAGCCTCACTCAGGCTTCCCACAGGGAAGCGGAGGCGCTGCGGAGGGAGAACGGGGAGCTGCGGAGGCACCTGCGGGAGGCTGAGGTCACCTTTATTTCTTTGTTTGATGCTCACCCTTTCCTCAACACTTAGGCCTGCTTTTTCTCCTCAGTTAACCTCCCATTTTTCTATATTTAGCTCTCATTTTTTCCTCATTTAACCTCTGTCAATTTAGCTCTCCATTTTTCCTTATTTAGCTCCCTATTTTTCCTCGTTTAGAATCATAGAATCTTTTGGGTTGGAAGGGCCCTTCCAAGGTCCCACGCCCTGCACTGCCCCCCACAGGGAGCAGGGAGCCCCACAGCTCCATCAGTGCCCCATCCCCTGCCCATGGGTGTCTGCAGTGACGGGGTGCCACCACCTCTCTGTGCAACCCGTGCAGTGTCTCACCACCTTTACTGTGAAAAAACTTCCTCCTTATATCCGATCTAAATCTCTCCTCTTTTAGTTTGAAACCCATTTCCTCTTGTTCTATCACAACAGATCCTGCTAAAGAATCTTCCCCATCCTCATAGCCCCCTTTGTACAGATTTAGATTTAAGCCCCCCTTTATGCATTCTACCCATTTTTCCCCATTTTACACTTTTACCAAATTAACCCTTCATTTCTGCCCCCTCTCCCCAGTACTTCTCCTTATTTTACTCCAATTTTTTCCAATTTAACTCCTTTTCTTCCCACAGGTCTCCCCTACCTGGCGGTCAAGCAGGTGAGCCCCAAGCATTTCAATTTTGGGGAAAGGGAGACCATCCACTGATCAGCATCCCGTATTTTTCCATGCAGGAGCAGCACTCCTCGGCCCATTGGCATCACTTCCCCAGCTACGACAGGTAGATCCTCCCCTAATTTTACCCGTTTCCCCCCAATTTCAAGATGAACTTTATTAAAAGGTCTCTGTCTGCTCCAGTCACCCCACAGCCTCGGCGGCAGCTCAGCGGGCAGGTGGTGAGGTGAGCAGGGCCCCCCGGGTTGCCCTATTGCAGAAACGGGAGGAACACCCTCAGATTTGTGTCTTTTCCCCTCAAATGTTCTCCCCCTCCATAACGCAGCCGCTCGGCCTCACTGGAGTTCCCCTCAGCCAGCAGCACCCCGACGTGGCTGGGTGAGCCCCCAAACCTGCTGCACGTGCCGCCTCCTCGCCCAGCTGGCTCCCAAACCACATCCCTCTGGGCTGCACACTGCACCCCCACCTCTGCATTCCTGCAGCCCGACCCTTTTATCCCCGTGCCTGTAGCCCTGCCCCCTGCCCAGAGCCCCTTCACACCCCTGACCCCTGCGCCCACTCCCCAGCTTTGGCTTCCCCACCGTTCTCTTGATTCCACCCCTTTCCAGCCTTGCCCCTCTCCCCCACAGCCCCATCTCCAGGCTCCACCCCCAGTCTGGCCCACAGGTGAGTGGTGCAGGGTGGGCTTGGGGATGCGCTTTCTGGGCACCCGGGATGTCCCTGTGCCCACTAAAGCCCCCATCTGCCCAGGGCTTCCCTGCTGGCTTCCCGTACTCCGCTGTGGGGTCCTTTCACCACTCCGCCGCTGCTGCTCCCCGTCCCGCCCGCTGAGCCCCAGCACTTTCTGTCCGCCGGCCTGCAGCCCCGCCGTGGCTGAGCCCACCATGGCCTGGCCTCGACCAAGCTCGTATTGCAGCACTGCCGTGTGCGGCTCAAAGAAGCGCCTTCTGGAGTGCTGGTGGCAGCCCTGCATTGTCCAGCAGCGTGGGATCATCGCTGCCATTTTGGAGGTAGAGAGGTCATCTCGCAAGCAGATGCCTTTCCTAGATCCTCTGCCTCCCTGCCGAGACCCCACCGGTTCCTGTCGTCTTCCTACTCTTTGCAGTTCTGTGGGATGTTCTGGGGCTGCCTGAGGGGTTCGCTGCTCCCCCATGGGGCACCGCACCCCTCCAGGCCTGACTTCCACCTCCTGCTTAGCATCACCGTGCAGGCCAAGGTAAGCTTGGAGCCAGGGAACCTTGTGGAGACAGAGCCTGGCTGGGGCAAGCCCAAAAACCTAATGCTGGGGATGCCAAGGCCCAATGGAAGCTCCTGTAGGAGCTGTGCCCTGTGTGAAAGGACCTCCTGGAGGGAACCCCATGGCCCCATAGAAGCTTCTGCTGAGCAAATTTTGCTCATGGGGATCCTTAGGTCCTATGGTGGGAACCTAAGGCTAGGTGTAGGACTCATGGTGGGAACCCACAGCTACATAAAAGCTTCCAGAGGGCTGATTTCTGCTTGAAGAGAGGGATCCATGGAAGGACCCCAAGGACATGTAGAGGTGTCATGGCACACTTAAGGCCATAGAGGGACGCCCATGGAGCTGACCCTTACCCACCACATCCCCTCAGCCCTGTGTCCAGCCCCAGACCCTGCAGTTTGACCATGGTGTGTTATCATGGTGGTGGGATCATGGCCACCTGCCCATAAGGGTGCCCACATACAGCTGGTGGCCACCAGTCTGCTATCCTGTTTGTCCCTGCAGGGCTCTACTATGCAGGCAGTGAGGGCACCCACGTGGCTGGCTGAGCTCTTGTGGTGGGCCTGGGCCCCACCTGCAGCACCCTGGGCTGAGGCCGCAGCTGGGGGCTCCCAGTGGAGGCTGCCTGAGGCCTGCTCTGCTGTGCCACCTTCCAGGAAACACGATGCGATGCCTCCTTGGTTTGCCATGGTGCTGTGCAATGTGGGGCAGCTGGCTGCACCACATCTCATCCAACAGTGTGGCTGAGCTGCAGGAGCTCTGCGGATCACAGCAAGTCCAGCCTGAGGCTCTGCAGGGATGGAGGGGTGAGGAGCTGCTCCAGAGATTTTTCTTGGTCGTTGAGGGTCAACTGCAGTCTGAATCGGGGGTGTTTTGGCACAAGGAGTCTCCTTAGTTAAGATGGTTTTGGGGTGAAGGGACTTTTTTCTTAAGATTGAGGTCTACACGGTTGCAGAGTGAGGTTAAGATAGAAACAGCAGTTGTGGGGTGAGTTGCAGGGGCTACCGCAGTTGGGGAGGGTGGTGATAAAAGCTGGAGGCCACACCTGAGGGCTGCAAGCTCTAGGTCAGTGCTGAGCAGAGCCACGGTGCTGCTGTCTTGGGATGCAGAGGCACCTCTACGGCCAGGAAGGTGCCAGCTGCCCTTGGACTGAGGGCTGTGGACTGGGACACCTCCCTCCCTGCCAGGTGTATAAAGTTTCCTGATTCGTTACAGCTGATGTCTGTCATTGTTGGAGGTGGGACGTGCGGTTGGTTGCAGCTCCTGATAGCAGAGGGCGGGATGTGAGCGCACGGCCATGGGGGGCTCTGCCCCAGCTCGTGTGCTGTTGGAGCTGGGGGAAGTGAGAAGGGCGCTGCGCAGCCTGCAGGTGCTCCAATAGCTCTGGGACGTGTCGAGCTCACTGCGGGGCTCTGAATGGCCTCCAGGTTCCATCAGATGGCGCCGGGTTCCACCGGAGTGTTGTAGAGTACAGGGAAGCCTTGGAAGCCTCTCAGGAAGCCTCGGTGGGGCCTGGAGCAGAGGAGCTTTGGTGGCGTCTGAGTGGCTGGGAGGCGGCTGCCCCGGGAAGGTCAACGAGGATCAGCTCTGGGTGGTGCTGGGAAGCCCGAGGGGTGCGGGGAGCTCCGCGGTACTTGGATGCCTCCAGAAAGCTTTGATCGCTACAAACTCCCAAATCCTCACTCAGCGAATCCAGAAACAGCTGCAACCCTTCTGTAAGGCAGCAGCTGCCCCGCAGCTCCTCCCTGACAAAACGCTCCCCAGGACGGAATCAGCAATACTGGTGGGCACGGGCACCCAGCTCTAAGAGAACGAACGCCAGCGAGCAGCGGCCGCCCCACGCATCCCTTAAAAACGCAGCTCTATCTGCCCGCAGCTCACAGCTCCCGCACCGAGCCCCGCAGCTCAGACGAGCAGCGTCCACCGCCTTCCTGCTCCCGCAGCTCCATCTGCTCCGCGCTCTCGTCTCCGTCTCGGACTCGCGTGCCCGAGCGAACCCCGTAAGCAGCCCGGTTCGGCTCCTATTGCGCCGCCACCCAGCAGCGCTGAGCCGACCTGCACTGAACAGCAAAGCGCCGCGGCTTCCCGGCTTTACGGGGACTTGTCCAATCGCTACTGCGCATGCTCCAGCGTGTGCCAGTCTTTGTCGTCAGTCGTCCAAGCTCTATGGTCACCCGTCCGCTAGGCAGAAACGCGGAAATGGCTTTTCTTTACGGTTGCCGCTCTGCACTGCCACTCTATGGTAAAAGGCTTTTCCGGCAGTACAGCGCATGCGCATACAAACACGGAAGTAGCGGCGTTCCGGCCGTGCAGCGTGGCAGTGAAACGAGCAGGGAACGCACTGCCCTGCTGTGCGGGACTCACTGCCCTGTGCTGCGGGGCGAGGGAGAGGGGAAAAGGTCTGAGAGCAGTCATTGTGCGTATGTCTGTAACCGCACTGCGGAGCGCGCGCTGCTGTTCCTCACTCTGCTCCGCAGCGCAGTTTTGCGTTCCCGCGTTTCTCTCACCCGGGTCACGTGGTGCAGGGTCACGTGGTGCCGGGAGCTAATGGCGGCTGGAGAGTCCCGTGCCGAGCGGCAGTGGGCGCGGGATGGGAAGGGGAGCAGAACGGGGCGATGGAGGGCGGAGCGCTGCCAGGTTGTGCTGCGCTGCAGTCACGGCCCAGGGTGTTGATCTGCAGAAGCCAATACACGATGTGTAGTAGCACATTTTAGAAGCAGAGCTGTTGAACTGTTGCGCTGTGTGATTATTTCTTGCTGAAGCAGCTGTTAGATGTTGTGAGGTTCTGGATGTGGCGCTGCAGACTGCAAAGCGGCTCTGTTCTAACGAGAGATGAAACAACAATGAAACGGTGCAAACGGCTCAGCCGGCATCTAAAGGAGCCCCAGAAGGGCCTGCAGCTGCCGCAGGAGCTGAGCTGTTACTGCAGCAGGCAGCGTGGAGGTGCTGCTCCTTGTCTGCCAACACCCTGCTATATGGCATTCATATCATAGAATCGCAGAATGCCCTGGTTTAAAAAAGGCCCACTGTGCTCATCTGGTTCCAACCCCTGCTGTGTGCAGGTCGCCAACCAGCAGCCCAGGCTGCCCAGAACCACATCCAGCCTGGCCTCGAATGCCTGCAGGGATGGGGCATCCACAGCCTCCTTGGGCAACCTGTGCCAGTGCCTCACCGCCCTCTGGCTCAAAAACTTCCTCCTCATATCCAACCTAAACCTCCCCCGTCTCACTTTAAAACCATTCTCCCTTGCCTCATCACCGTCCACCCTTGTAAACAGCCATTCCCTTCCTGTTTATACACTCCCTTCAAATACTGGAAGGCCACAGTCTCCCCAGAGCCTTCTCTTCTCCAAGCCAAGCAATCCCAGTTCCCTCAACCTCTCCTCACACAGAGCTGCTCCAGCCCTCTGCTCATCTCAGTGCCTCCTCTGGACCCGCTCCCAGAGCTCCACGTCCTTCCTGTGCTGGAGACCCCAGACCTGGACCCAGTACTGCAGGTGGGGGCCTCACAAGGGTCGAGCAGAGGGGGACGATCGCCTCCCTGTCCCTGCTGACCATCCCTTTTTAAAGGCAGCCCAGAACACAGTTCAGTTGGCCTTCCGGGTGCTGGCTCATATCCAGCTTCTCTTCCACCAGGACCCTCGAGTCCTTCTCCGCTCTCAAGGAGATCTTCCCCCAGTCTGTATCAATAGCTGGGATTGCCCCAACCCAATGCAGCACCCTGCACTTTGCCTTATTGAACACCATTAGGTTTTCAAAAGACAGGTGGCCAAACTGATCTCTACCCAAGGACGAGCAGATGTGCAGAAATAACGGCCGAGTGCTGAGTGAGCAAATGTTCTGATTTTGATATCCATAGATTACAGGTGGTTGGCATTCTCCTCCCCAGTGTGTGTCAGTGAAGGAAGTTCACCTTGAGGATGAGTGAGGAAGAGCCCTGGATGAAGTCAAAGGCTGTCAGTGGGGCTGTCGTGGTGCTGAAAGGACGCTGGGCAGTAGAAGAGATCATGGCTTGGAAGACTGGAAACCTCATAAATCACTGCCTGAGCGAGGTGCGTATGTCTTAATTGCCTCGCAGGCAATTGATGTGTGCCATCTCTGGAAATACAGTGAGTTCTGGATCCTGCCATCTTTGAAGTGCTAATGGTGGAAACATTCACAGTGCTTCACAGTGCTGCTGACGAAGAGCCCCTGCCTGAATGGTGACAAAACTTTGCCATTAAGTTTCTCAGCTTCTTTCCTTCGATTCGGTGTCAGAATGAAGCTGTGAAGTGCTGCGCTGATTTTACCCAGAAGTTACCCTGTAAACCCACTGCAGTCACAGCTCTGCTCCTTCTGCGTTTCATGAAGTTGTGTTTCACCAAGGTTAATTGACACGTGCCTTGGAGTGCTGCCAGCGCCTCCATTTTTGTGTGACAGACATCGCGTTCCATTCAGAGCTCTGCAAAAAGTGCTTTGGGCAGAGAAGCTCTTAGCAGGTCAGCACAAAACTGAAAGCACAGAAATGAATGAAGGGAGGAGGCGTTTTTTCACAGTTCTTTCAGTGTCTGCGATTCATTCAGATTCATTAAGTGGTGTTGATGGAAGACATCACAGGTTGTGGCCAAACGAGAGAGGAAGCACTGCTGCAGGGAGTATCATTCATTGGATTAAAATGCTGAGATTACATTCATTTGATACAACGCACTGAGAAAAAGCCTACCTGGACTTGGAAGTCTGCTTTGTGTTCCCTCAGCCATAATGGAGAGTGGCAAACACAGCAATTTCTGTGCTTTTGGCTGTGTGTGATGCTGCACCCAGATGCAGAGCGGTTCTTCTGCTTGGAGCAATGTCCTTTATGCTTTGCCTCCTGTGGGCAGGAGAAGCTGCAGGGCTGCCCTGTTGTGCCTCTGGGGAGAAAGAAAGCCTCCATGTTCACATTGCAGCCTTTGGCACCTGGGATCCGTGGTTGGAGTCGGTGATCTTTAAGGCCGTTTCCAGCCTGAGTGACTCTATGGCTGCAATCCATCCCTGTGTCCCCATGACCCTGACACACCGGGAAGCCTCGGGCTGCTCCCTCCACAAGGATTGCTCACAGGAGCTTCCCGGGTGGACAGAATGCTGTTCTGAGATTGGCATCCTCAGAGCAGTGCCCTCAGCACAGCAAACACCGCGGATGCCTTTGAGTTGAGGGAAATGAATTTGCACAGCGAGAAGGGAGGCGCTGAGCGCCCCTAAAGCTGGCCTCCAATCTGCGGCATACTTTCATCCAGGATTGTTGTGTGATGTTTATCACCTTTATTTTTGTATTTCCTCCTCGTAGATTTTGTTTCGAAAGGAACACTCAGATGCTTTTTGGTGTCCTGAATTACTTTACAACTCGAGGTGGAAGCTGGAGACTCGGGTCCAATATCCCAGAGCCACAGCTGATGCTGCACCCAGGAGTCCAGGCTGTGCTCAGGATTACACCAAGATGAGGAGCTGCCGTTGGTCTTCAAGGAGGTAGGAGTTGGTTATTAGTACACAACATGAAATTCCTTTTTTACTTTCTTTTTGGACCAGCGGTGGTATGCAGGCTGACTCGGTGTGTTGGAAAAGTGTTTTGTATTGTTGTCAGGTGACATTAGCAGCAGAGCACTGGGCCGGGGCAGGGAAAGATGGAGGGAGGGAAGGGGGCAAGGAGAGGGGGATGGAAGAAGGAAAGGACAGGAACCTGCAGGGCGTCCTGGAAAGCAGTGAGGAGCTCTGGGAGGGCTGCAGGGTGCCACGTGCTGTAACAGGTGTGCCTGTGTGCATGGCCACGAGTTTGGGTCGGGGTTGTTGTCGCTTCTGAGCTCCTGCAATGGGAAGAGCTGGAGCAGATGGTGCAGTCCGTGCAGACCTGTGGGATCCTTGGACAGCCCTCTGCTGTCAGGCTTCCTCCGTGTGCCCAAACTGTGAGCTGTGCCGTGCCTGGCTGCGCTGCTCCATGCCTGCAGCTGCATCTTTGTTTCCTTCTCTCCCACACAGAGCCCTGAGGTGCCCCCACCATCCTCTGCCCACCCCCAAAATGCTGAAGAAGACATTTGGCAGTGGGTCAGAGGAGTCCCAGCACCCTGCTTCCCCTCTGCTTGCAGTTCTCTCCTCCTCTGCCCCGCAGGGCTCCAGCCTGAGCAATGGGAATGGGGTGGGGGGCAGGGAGTGCTGGCGGGGGGCGCTGCTGCAGCTGGCTGGGGAGGGGCTGCGCAGCCCAGACCCTCGTGTGCTCTGCTGCAGCAGGACCAGAGAAGGGCAGATGAGGAGCTGCAGCTGAGCCTGATGGACCTGTGCAACTGCAGGTAATCAGGGAATTAGAATTCTCATTACTTCTCTTTCATTTGAAAAGTAAAGTAAGGTTTTGTCTTCTGTTTTCAGTCCCAGTTGGTGTGGCTGTCAGCAGAGGAAGGCGTATCAAATCCATCTGTGTTACTGTGAGCACACAGGGACCATGGAGTGAAGGTAGAAAAGGCTCCATGGGGATTTTATTTTATTTTATTTTTTTTTGGTAAACATTTTGGGTAGCAGCATCTGTGGAAAAGTCTTTTGTCTGACCTATTTCTGGTTTATTTCCTGCAGATTCAACCAGTAACCAGGCTGTATCAAACCAGAAGGTGTTGCAGAGATCACCTGCAGTGCTTCAGGGGCCACAGAAGGGGCTGTTCAATGAATTCAGTATCTGACTTCTTACTCCTCCCTATGTGAGCTGCAGTGGCTATTTTTGTTGTTGTTCTTCCATCCTGGAGAAATGACATTGTAAACATTCAAGCCTTTGAGCAAACGAAGCATGAGAAGGAAGACAACAAAACCCTCAGTGAGTATTGCTGCAAGAATAACAGCAGTGTGCATTGAGTCTGCAGTAAATACTGCTGGCCTGTAACGTCAGGCGGTTATGAAGGTCGGTTGGGACGATGTTGGTGAAGTGGTGCTGAGAGCTGAAGGGAGACTGGATTCCTGTGGTATTTCTGCTGCTGAGAAACAGCCACGGAGTGAGGCAGTGGAATGGAAAATGGGTTGGGGCTCGAAGCCCAGTTTAGAAAGAAAGGCGTTCTCAAGCTTCGCAGCTCTGACAGCAATCCCTGCTCACAGCAATTTGTCCTCTGGGTTCTCAGCAACCTCAGGAATTCAGGGACAGGATGGAGAACTGAGTGCTCTGACAAATGAGATTTCCCTTCACCAGCCCCACGTGGACCTCGCTTCTGACTTTTCCACGTGCAGGAAAGTGACCTCGCAGCTGCAGTGTTTGTTCTGGGATGTATAACAGTGGGATCTGCCCCTCTGTCCCTCTCTGTTCCTTGCAGGATGTGGTTTCTCACAGAGAAAAGCTTTCTAAGGAGAACAAGAAGCAAAAGGGAGGTTTGAAAGCCTTGAGCGAATAGGAGAAGAAATGCTGGCAGTCTGTTGGCATCTGTTCTGCTTCCTTCAGGTGTGCAGGATTCACTTGGTTCTTTAGGAATTAAGCCATTTTCCTTTAGCTCTGCACTTCATCACTCAGGGCGGCGCAGGTTTTGATCTGATGCAACGCCTTCCTAAAACTGAGTCCAATCTCAATCCTTTCCTTACAAGGAGTGCCAGCAGGCTGTGAGCTCGGGCTTTGCAGGCCAGGGGAGCTGACACAGAGGCCTCTGACTGTTCAAAAAGGAACGAGAAGGCTGAGAATCAGGTGCTTTGTTTTTACCGGCTGTCCTCCCTAAGGATCCTGCCTGTCTGAGGCACGTTTGGTGGCTTTGGCTGGAGCTGAGCTTGGTGCTTATGGCTTCAGTCCTCTGTGATACAGAGCTGCGCCACCGGCTGCCCACACCAAACATGCGTGTTGCTGGAGGAGATTACTCCATGCATTTTGTTTTGTTCAGAGTGTGAGATGCTGTGTGACGTGTGGAATCGAACTCTGTGACCCAGGTGAGATTACCAGGTAAGATTAAGCAGGTGTGGTTTTATTCAGTGCTGCGCAGACACCGGGTGCAAGGGGCATCGATCCGCCTGGCTTGGAAAGTCGTGCTGCAGATACAGGCTGAACTCAGGCATCAGGAGTTTCCCTGGATTCGGATCCATATTCATTACACCCCGACAGTTCATTAGGGTGCAGACCCTCCCCTCTGGTGTGTGGATAGTGGGTCGTGGGATGAAGATTTGTTGTTTTCCTCGCAAAGGCTTCTGACCGTTTTCGCTGTCAACTCCTGGCCTTTCAGGGGGGGCATCCCCCCAAACCGGTTTCTTCTCGCCCTGTGGACATCAAATCCCCTCCCTGCCAAATGTCCTCGGGCTGTTCTCAAACCTTATCTTCAGGGCCTTCATCCCCCTCACTGTGCCAGACACTGGGTCTGCCATCCCTTATTTTCTAACAAGCTCTACATTCCTGCTTCTGTCAACTATCTCCAACTATTCCCCTTCACCCCCTTATTCTCAGTCACTGTGAAGCCTTCTTGCCTTTTGACTTTCTCTTGTGGGCCCGTCTCACCTTTCAGCATGCCTTCAAACAGCCCACATCTACAAGAAATTTCTTTTTCTCTTTTCTTTTTTCCTTCTTCCCTTGGAGCAGTGGTTCAGGGAGGTGTGGATGCTTTCTTTGCTGCTGTGCTTCCCATAGCAGTATCCCAGGAATGGCTTCTGTCACTGATTGATTTCTTGCTTATTTTAAATACTGAAGGGAACTTAGTGTTCTTTTCTTCTGCATAAAACTCCCTTTGTTTCCATTGTAGTTTCGAGTTGTGCTCTCGAATGGAATGTTCAGCTGGATCTACAACAGCTGCCAAGGAGGAGCCTGCAGGCAAACGGTGATGGATTTCCCAGGTGAGGTCATAAAGCTCCTTGCCTCCTGGGGTTCTTGTATTATTCTTACATAGGGTTGTATGTGATTGCTGTGCTGCGACTTTTATGACAAATCCATTCTGTTTCCCCAAGGCGATGCTGAGACGCCTCCTGCTGACTTAGGCCCACCTCGTGCTTCATATTAATTCTTCCCTTGGGTTAAAAGCAGACCAAATCCTCGAAGCCGTGCCTGGGAATCCCGCTGTTACTGGAGTGGTTCAGCCTGGTGCCCTGGTCAGAGCGCCCTGCAGCAGATCCTGGCATTGGTTGTGAATGGGAGAACTCGCAACCAATCGCTCCGTATCAAAACCAATCCGGTGGATATGGACAAGCCTCGGGCGCCCCATGCAGGATCCCAGCGTGGGGAGGCCACGTATGGAAGCTCTTCCTGCTGTGCTTCTGCTGAGAGTTGCTCGGCTGGTTTGTGTTGCTCTGTTAATTGTTCCAAGCCATCCTTGGCTTTGCTGCACATCTCTGTCTGATTGATACCAGCTTTTTCGTCACCTCAGACACTGACTGAAAAAAGTAATAATAAATAAAAAAATGCATGACTACATCAGTTTGCTGGTTATTAATTTATTTCCACACAAATTTCCACGTCGTAAAAACTTAGCACAGGTTTGGTGGGTTTGGCGAAGTTTTCGTTGGTTTTCTTCGTCGTCTCCCCCCCCTCCTCTTCCTCTTCTGGTTTTCCTCTGCCATCGAAAGGAACAGAACGGATCGCCGGGGCTGCGCGGCGGCTCCGCGGCAATCGGCACGGCGCGGTTGTTTCCGCGGTCTCTGCTGCCCCCACGCGGCCAATCGGGGGAACTGCGGCCATGTTTGGTGCCGCAGGCCGCACGACGCATGCGCGCCTAGATGCGGAAGTGGCGTGTCGGAATTTTGACCGCTCTGCGCAGAGAATCCGCCAGTCTTTATTGTGAGACGCCTTGCGGCCGGCACCGCGCGTGCGCTCGAAGATGCACCGAAGGCGCGGATATTTGCACGAACTGCCGAGCATTCATCCCCCACGACCCCTCGCCCTGCGCCGTCCCCCGGCCACGTAAAAGCGCTCTCAGCGGCAGTGGAACGCGAGCAGCTCGGCGATTCACCGTCGCGGGGCTGGCGTGGAGCGGCCCCGGCATCGCAGCCTCCCGGGACCGGCACGGAGAGGCTCCGCGGTCGCCCCAAGCGGAGCATTGCCGAGTTTGCTAGGAGGAAATGGGCTTTTCCACCCGTCCTCTCCCACCCCCGGTAGCCGGGCTCCCTCACGAGGCAGTGCCGCACGGCCGCATGCACGGCACCACGCGCTGCAGGTAAGCCGCCACGCAGCCGAGCCGCGGCGCTGTCGGCGGGGGGGGGCAGCGCTCCGCGGGGAGGCGGCAGGAATACCGCAACAGAGCGGGAAGCGCGCAGGAAAACGCACCGTGTGAGGCTGGGAGGGGAAGGGCAGCGCCCCCCGATCTCGTGCCGGCCCTTGACCGGGTGCTGCACACAGGGGAAAGCCCCGGAGCCCAGCTTTGGTCACTGCCCAAACAGGTGAGGACCTCGTATGGATGCACATCTTTTCCATTTCACAGCGCGGTACAATGCGGTGCTCCCAGCTCGTTACGGTGCTTCAGGGCACCTTCCTGACCTTTTCCTCCTTTCTTTCCCTGGTTCTCCCCAGATTTTTGCCTTGCTTTTCCCTGTTATTCCTGCTCCCTTCTTCTGTGTCACTTAGGTGTTGCCCTTCCTTTGTGAATATCAAACCCCCAGCTTTGCTGCTCCACAAGAGTTATGTGCTGGGGTTGCATTGCTTCACTTTGTGCCCTGGGCTTTTTTCTGGGGCTCAGCAGCAAAGCGAATGGCAGTGAGGGGCCTCACTGGCTGGGATGTGACCTTAATGTTAACCTTAACGTGGACTCCAACCCTCATAGGAGCTGTAAAGATAACCATATGAACCCCCCGTGTAAGTCTAATCCTGAATGTTTTTCCTGCACTGTTTTTGCAGTGGAAGTTTCCAGTGTTTCTGTGTGTAATGTGGGATATGTTGTTTTTCACACAGAAAGCTGCTGAACAGAGTGAAGTTGAGATTGGGGTGTTCCAACCTAGGTAAAATTGGGACAGGCATCAGGTAAGGTAATTACACAGGGTGGGGAGAGTTTGGTACGGGACGAGTGTGCAGGTAGTTGAAAATATTGTCCTTCTATCGCAATAAAAAGTATGGAACATACCTAAAATCGATGGGTTGGTAACAGACATTGCAGGGAAGCGTCAGGTAGCAATGGAAGTGTACGGCAGTGTCAGAAGGTTGTGATGCGCCACCAGGGGGTGCCAGGAGCGGCTTTACCTGCGTCACACCCAGGGTCTGGCAGGTCTACCAGGATGGGTTTCACTCACTGGTTGTGCAGTTTCTGCCTGGTCGTTAGGGGTGTGCACCCATTGTTGCACTAATGAATAAAATGCCCTTCACAGAGGTCGTGGCTTGATTGGAAGTTGTTGATTTGGGGCTATTTCTCACAAGATGCCCCATGAGTCTTCCCTGCTGCAGGGAATTTCCAGCTCTCCCTGAGTCTTTCCTCATAGGAGATGCTTGAGAGTGGAGACCCCTCCCCATCTGTGTGTCATTAGTTGGACTTTCTATGGCAGCTCCCTGCTCCTGTTGTGCTGCAGAGCCCAGGACTGGACGTGGTTGTGCAGAACAGCTTCACCAGTGCTGAGGGGAAGGTTCTCCAGCACTGACCTGCACCTCATAACATAACCCTGGTGGGTGCTGGCCTCCTTTACTGCTTACAAGGGCAGATTCCTGCTGTTTTATGAAAGCTTCGTTGATGTTTTAAAGCCTTCTTGGCTTTCACAAACCACTGAGCAACACTCTGCATGGAAATGCAATGGTGCCAAAACTGTAGGATGCTGCAGATGCGTGAGCTGGCACCAACACTGCAAACAGTGGGAAAACCCAGGAGAAATTGAGATACCTGAAGAACACAGGGCAAAAGAGTTCCAGAAGAGAAGGATCTTCCTCCTGCAGTGCTGGCATCTTCAGCTGATTCCTGATATTTAGCAGGCTTAAATTTCAACAGCTGAAAACCAAACAGAGGTCTAATATTGCAGCTGGAGGGGTTGTGCACAGAAGTTATTTAAGCACTGATATGACACTTTAATTTGTTGGAACTGTATGTTATGTACACTTTGTCAACAATTATCAAACTGAATTTATTATCCTTTTTAAAAATGTAATCAATTATTAATTGTCAAGCTCAACTCCTGTGCTGGTCACCACCTGTAAAATCTCACTTTGTGGTAGTCACTGTTTGCATTAAAGCTTAAGGGACTTAAACCTCATTGCCACTGTGTTGTTTTTGGTCCCATCTCAAGGCATGGGTGTGTGGGTCCTTGCCCCATTAGTCACAGAACCAGGCCTGAACCATGGGCACACATTCTGTACTCATCTATCAGTTAATGTGACTGACCAGGCTGGGCTCACATTGCAGCCTTCCCTTGCGTTTGTTGGTCAGGTTTGTGTCATCTGTGTTCCTGTGAAGAGTTCCCCATTTATGTCATTTTGCATCTGAAAGATTCCTGACCAGAAACACAAAAAACTTAGTAACGTTTTTAACTCTTCCTTGAAATTCCTTGAAAACATTCCCAGTTCTTTCCCTGCCTGAAGAGCAGCAAAGTGGGAACTTAAAGTCAGAGAAAAGTGATGCAGACTTCTACCTTGGTCAGCCATTCTGATGAATGTATCCTCCTGCTTCATGCATGAAGGGCTGTGGATCGTTGTAGCCCCTGTTTGTAGCTTCTGGATGAGAAAGCCTCATCCAGGAAAGAGCCAATAACGTGTCTTACATACTGCACAGAGCACAGTTCCTGTCATGAAGGAAAACCTGCAGCACAGTGCTGTGAGCCGCAGCCCCTTTCCAGGTGTTTGTGGGCTTTTGTGTGCAGAAAGGCTCCAGCATGGCTGCCCTCACTGCTGTGTAGTTGGATATCAGCGTGGTTGGTGCTCACGTTCTCATACCTTCCCGATGCAGGCTAAAGCTTGAACTGCATAACAGAAGAAACCAGGCTTTGGAGATGTGCCGTTTTATGAGGGATATCCTGACGCCTCTACCAACTCCTGTGTTTCCTTCCTAGTTCTGCAGATTTCAGAAGTTGTTTGTATTAACCTGGGATCAGTGCTTCCCCTTTACATTCAGCAAAGCTAATAGCATCTGGAGAGTCTGTGGGAGAGTCCTCTCTCAGTGTGCCTCATCATTAAGGGCAGGAAGTTAACGAGTAAGTGAGGGGAAGCAGTCCTGGCCAGAGCCACTGATCAGCAGGGCCGTCTGAGAGCACAGAAACGTTTGTTGCAGCAGGGTGATCCGGGCAAGGACTCCTCAGGGGTCTGCGCTCAGGGTCCTCTCTGGGTTGTGTGCTCAGCTGTGTTGCAAAGGGGGCTGTGGGGGCTGTGACCCACAGCAGGAGGGCTGTGGGAGCAGCTGCAGGAGGCTGCCGCTCTGCTCTGTGTGCACTGCTCACAGCGCCCCGCTCAGCTGCTTGCACAGCCTAACTGAAATGTTCCCTTCACTCACACGACTTAAAGGTGCTGCATTACTCTTAGCGTAACGACCAGGGAACACGGGAGCATCAGAAGGAACCCTCACTTTTTAAGCGTCGCAGAGGCTCAGTAATGAGCTGCAGCAGTGTTTTACATTGGATCACAGTTTAAGTCCTGGCTCTCCTGACTTCCCCTTTACTGAAGGTGGCTCTATTTGGTATGGCACTGAGCACATATTTCAGCTCTGTGATCCACAGCTGTGACTAGCTAATGATCTCAGTAAATCATACTTGCACAGAGACAAGAAGAGAATTATGCAAATGCATTTCTGTACCACATCTATTGATAACTGGAATCGTACATAAATGAGCCTCAGCATATCAACACCAATAACTCCTTTTTTTATAGCAGATATGAAAGATGGGGCAGTGGAGCTGGGGGTAGTTTCAGGAATTTTATTGCAGTCGAGTTACAGTTGCAGAATATATAGCATAAGTTGACAGTTTCTGTAAGAAAAGGAAACGTGCTGTGGGCACACAGAAAGGGGTGGATAAAAGTGTAAGAGCTGCGATTTCTCAAATACAGCTGTGAAGGAGGTCACAAATTACCTTTCCAGACTGCTTTTTCCCCACACGATGATTACAGTCTCAGCACAGCACTGTGGCTTTCTGAGCAGCAGTCACACCTGGCAGCTGGATAAAATGTCTTCCACCAGCCTCTTGTAGACCCACGCATCCCCTCTGAGCCTCTGTCTCCTGATTCCAACTGCTTCGTTCTTACTGAGCTGACACACTTCTAGCTCAAACTTCATGCATTCCTTGCCAAAATCTGGCTTTGTTTGGCATTTCAGGGTGTAGCTGTACAAAACAAAGGAGAAGCAGAACAATCATTTCATCACGTTTCAAAGCTGGCGTTGGACAATTTCAAATGAATAAAAGCACTTCATTGCAGTACTCCACTGGCATTCACATGACTGGGAAAACAGCCCATGGTGAAGTCAGCTGAGAGCTGTGACACCCAAATCCAACAGTGGCACCTTCAGAGGTCCCTTCCAACCCTGAGGATTCTGCATTCTGTGGCCAAATGTTTGTGTGTTTTAACTACAAGAATGGGTGTCACAGTTACACACAGCCTCTCTCCCAGTTGTCTGTGACTTTATTATAGCTCACCTTTTGTGTTGCAGTTTCACAGGGGCAGACAACACTCACATCAGCCTCTAAGTGCTACATCATCATTACTGCTTCATATTCGTCACAGAGCTCTACGGGAGCTCATTTAACTCACTTAACACTGTTTTGCATCGTGTGGACAATTTTTCATGCACAGACCCATTTACTGTTTCCTATGCTTTTTCTGAAAGTGTTTTACAGAGTGGGACAGAGAAAGTAAATGACAACATTTGCCTTATGAAGGGCTATGGAACGGACTGTTGAGGCACACACAAGGTGAAGCCACTTACCCCTTCTGAATGTATTCCACCTGCTTCTTTGAAAGGACAGAGATTATTTCATTCAGCAGTTGGTCTGGATTCAGCAGTTGAGTCATGGTAACATTATAGTGTGCCTGAAAGCAGACAGCTCAGTAAAAAAAAAATCAGAATCACAGAATACATCTTTTTCCTGAGACTGAAGATATTACGGAAACTTTTGATGCTGGAAGCTGCAGAACATCCAACCATGCAGACAAATGCTTCAGCTCCCCAGTGATCACCGTTGAGACTCTGGAATAACAGCAGGAACGCTCACCAAGAAGTTCTGGACAACCAATATCAAAGCACTGCAAGTTCTAAACCAGCATAAAATCCAAAGCAGCAGTGATGGGCCAGGAAGCACAGAGGCATGCAGCCACAAGTGCTCGCTTGGCAGGATGACAGAAGACAGCCATGAAACCGTATTTCCAGTACCCTGTGACAGCAGCTGGGAACTGCCTGTGCTGTGCTGCTTTGCTCAGACTGAGTGCTGCAGATGTCAGGGGACACACAAGGTTCCATGAGGCTTTTCCAGCCCTAAGGTATCAGAGCAAAAAAAACCCCAACAAAACAACAAGTAATTTCCAGCCTTAAACTTATGGTTGCAGTTTTGTTTGTTTGTATCATGTCTAATGCTACGTACAACAGATTTGTCCACTAAGTGACTTCTGCAACTTTCAGACACCCACGTTAGAAAGAGAGAGGGTTCACCAATTGGCATCTCACAAATACTGCAACTGTCATACAGACAGATCAGAGAAGACAGGAAGGTAAAACAGCTTGAGACATGAACACAGGCTGTGGATGTAAAGGTGGAGAGAGAAAAAAAGAAAGTTCTTCAATTCCCTGTTCAACCCAGAACACACAGAACTACGAAAAGGCAAAATTACATAAAGTTTCATCTTCCACTGTTGTGATCTAGTGCCCATAGAAGTGCAGCAGTGATCCTGCATAATGCTTTGGACAAGGGAAATTGATACAGAATGATAAAAGCTTCTACAGGCAAAAAAATTCACCTGTATTTGTTTCTGATCACTCAGCATCCCAAATTATTGGTGCAGTCTGGCCGCTTGTCAAATTAGCTGGGTAGGTTTGTCGTCCCAAATGTCTTGAGCTGGTAACAATGCCATCTTAGATTTAACAAAGCAGCAATTGGATAAGCTTCCAGATCAGAATACAGAAGCTAAACTGCATTCAACCAAACTGCAGAACACAAATTAATCCCCTTATTACAGCCTTGCATGCATCAACCATGACACAGCTGATAACAGGATCTTGCATCAAAGAAAGACAGCAATAATTAGGACTGCAGTCCTAGACTTGAGGAGATCCAGCTTTGGCCACTTTGAGGGCCTGATATCCCATGAGCTGGAGCACTGGAACGTAAGGGGGTCCAATAGAGCTGGTAGACATTCAAGCACCATTTCCTCCAGGCTCATGACTGGGAATCCTTATGGGTAAGAAATCAAGCGCCAGTGGCAAGAAATGTAAAGGATGAGCAAGGAGCTCAGGGGAAATCTCACATAGAAGAAAGAAAGTCCACAGAATGTGAAAAAGGGTCTGTCCACTTGGTAGAAATACAGGAATGTTGTCAGGGCGTGCAGGGTGACAACAAGGAAGGCTAGGACACTTTTGGAATTAAATCTGATGAGGGAGGTCAAGGACAACAAGAAAAGCTTCTCTAAGTAAATCAGTAGCAAAAGGAAAGTGAGGGAAAGTGAGTCCCACTGCCGAATGCACTGGGTGTCCTGGCAGCAAAGGACATTGAGAAGGCAGTTACTGAATGCTGCCTTTGCTTTAGTCATTACTTATAAGACCCCCAGAGAATCCCAGGCTCTGAAGGTAAGAGAATGAGTCCGGAGAAAGGAGGACTTCCTGGTGGTCGAGAAGGATCTGGTTAGAAATAGGCTAGGCAAGCTCAATGCACACAGATCCATGGCCTTTGATGGGATGCACCCACAAGCAGTGAGGGAGCTGGAAGAAGAGATTGGTAAACGACTCTCATTTTTAAAAGGTCACAGATAACAGGACAGGGGCCTGAGGACTGGAGGACAGTCATGTCAGGTCACTCTTCAAAAAGGGCAAGAAGAAGAAGCCAAGAAACTATGGGCCAGGAAGCCTCACCTCTGTCACTGGGAAGATGATGGAGTAACTTATTCTAATGTCATCTCCAAGCAAGTGAAAGAAAAGAGGGTTATTAAGAGTAGTCAGCGTGGGTTCACCAATGGGAAATCATGTTTGACCAATCCGGTACCACTTTATTTTATACATCCACATTTATTTTATCCACCCTATTTATTTTGTATATGCACAAGTCTATGGGTCCCAATGAGATGCATCTCAGAGTCCGAATGGAATTAGCTGATGCTGTCTCCAAGCCATTCTCTACGATATTTGAAAAGTTGTGGCAATCAGGTAAAGTCCCTGGAGACTGGAAAAAAGGTAACATCATGCCCATATTTAAACAGGATGGCTAAAAAGGGAACTACTGACCTGTCAGTCCCTGTGCCAGGAAAGATCATGAAACAGATCCTCCTGAAGCTACATCTAGACAGGCTGGAGAGTTGGGCAGGGAGGAATTGAATGCGATGTAACATGGGCAAGAGTAGAGTCCTGCATCTGGACAAAAACAGCCCCAGGTACCAGGGTAGGTTGGGACAGATCTGTTGGAGAGGAGAGCAGGGGAAAGGGACCTGGGTCCTGGAGGACAGAGGGATGACCGTGGGCCAGCACTGTGCCCTTGTGGACAAGAAGGCAAAAGGCATCCTGGGGTGAAATAGAAGGGCTGTGGGCAGTAGGGTGAGATTGGTTCTCCTCTCCAACTACTCTGCCCCAGTGAGACCACATCTGGAATATGGTGCCCAGTTCTGGGCCCCTCCGTTCAAGAAGGACAGGGAACTGCTTGAGAGAGTCCAGCACAGAGCCACAAAGATGATGAAGAGAGTGGAGCATCTCCCTTACGAGGAGAGATTGAGGGAGCTGGGGCTCTTCAGCTCGGAGGAGACTGAGGGGTGACTTCATTAATGTTTATAAATATGTAAAGGGTGAATATGAGGAGGATGGAGCCAGGCTCTTCTCAGAGACACCCAATAATAGCACAAAGGACAGTGGGTGCAGGCTGGAACACAGGAGGTTCCACATAAATACGGGAAAAAAATTCTTTATGGTGAGGGTAACAGAGCACTGGAATGGGCTTCTCAGAGAGGTGGTGGGGTCACCTTCTCTGGAGACATTCAAAACCCACCTGAAGTGTTCCTGAGTGACCTAATATAGGAGCTTCTGCTCCAGCAGGGGGTTGGAATGGATGATCTTCTGAAGTCCCTTCCAATCCCTGGCATCCTGTGATTCTGTGATTCCATAGTAAGGCACACGGAAGGCAAGGAGATGATACAGGAGAATTAGCATGGCTTCATCAGGGGCAAATCCTGCTCGACCAAATAGTGGCCTTCTATGATGGTGTCACTGCATCAGTGGACAAGGGAAGAGCCACTGATATCACCTGCCTCAATTTCAATGTGGCCTTTGATGTGGGACCCCACAACATACTTCTCTTTAATTGGAAAGACATGGGTTTGATGGGTGGGCTGTCCAGTAGACAAAGAAGGGAACAGACTCTTCAGCAGGGTTTGGGGTGACAGAACGAGGGGAAATGGTTTTAAGCTCAAAGAGGGTAGATTTAGAGTAGAGATAAGGAAAAACTCTCCTACAGTGAGGGTGGTGAGGCACTGGAACAGGCTGTCTCGTAATGTGGTGGATGTCCCATCCTGAAGACTCTCAAGGAGAGGTTGGATCAGGCAACCTGATCAGGCTGTGCATGTTGCTGTGCAGTGCAGGGGAGTTGGACTAGATGGCATTCAGAGGTCCCTTCCAACTCTAAGGATTCTATGACCACGTAATGATCAGCTGGGAAGATGGGGGGAGAGCAGTGGATGTTGTGCACCTTGAATTCAGCAAGGCTTCTGACTCCATAACATCCTCATAGGTAAGCTTAGGAAGAGAGATAGACAACTGAACAGTGAGGTGGATGGAGAACTGGTGACAAGCAGAGCTCAGAGGGCTGTGATCAGTGCACAGCCTAGCTGTGCTTCCCTTGTGAGGAAAGGCTGACAGACCTGGGGCTGTTCAGCCTGGGGAAGAGAAGAGTGAGAGGCATCTTATCAATGTTTACAAATATCTGAATCATAGGCATCAAGTGGATGGGGTCAGATGGTTTCCAGTGGTGATCAGCATCAGGACAAGAGGCAATGAGTGCAATCTGCAACACAGGAAGTTCCATACAAGCATGAGAAACAACTTCAAGGGTGTCAGAGCCCTGGAGCAAGCTACCCAAAAAGACTGAAGTCTCCTTCTCTGGAGATATTCAAAACTCCCCTGGATGTTTTCCAGTGCTGTTTAATGTAGAGAACTTGTTTCAGCACAGGCTGTGCTGGATGATCTCCAGAGGTCTCCCTTCCAGACTCCTGGATTCTGTGGCTGTCCTGCAGATGTCCCTAATGGCTACAGCTCCAGGAGACAGCTGGCTGGAGGGATGCACCAGTTTCTTTTATGGAACTGCTCATCCCTTCACAACAGCCTTGTCTTCACATGAATCACATGCTTTCTGAACATGTCACCTACAGATTCAAATATAAATTCCTACCAGGTGATTTATGTGATTCTGTTCACTGCATGGAGAAGTCTATGGATGTGCATTCTAGAAATCTAAAACTGATGTTATGAATCAACTTTGCTAGGTGTAAGTTCTTAATTTCATGTAAAAGTGTTCTATGCAATGCAATCAGTAATTTTTCCAGGGCAACTTAAAAAAAAAAAAATAGTAAAAAAATGGCTTGGGTGCAGAGACACCAAAACTTTGAAAATTAAAAGTCACAATGACAGCATCAGAAATTCTTTCACCAGCTGAATTTATTGAAGCCTTAACTTTAATCTTGGATTCTATCGAATCCCAGACAAGATCCTGGGACTCCTTTCCAAGTATCACTCCTGAACGATGGAAAACAGCTAGCAGGGAATGTTATCAGAACTCCCTCACAGCAGAGGGAAAAGCCAGCAGTATTTCTACAGAAATAACATCATTAAATACGTTCAGCTCCTTTAAACCCATCCTGCATCCCCCTCCAGTGTGGTGAGATGGCATGCAAAAAGCAAAGGTCAGCCCTCTCCCATGAGGTGCTGGTGACTCACCTGAGCTGAAGCCAGCACTAAATCCCTGGGCAATAACAGGGCCATTGCATTAACAGCAAAACAGAACGAGGTGCAGTTTTCTATAGAGTGCAGGCAACCCAGACCACAGAATTCTTCACAAGACCATTCCTAATAGCTCTTGAAAATGTTTAATGCTGTCATTTCCGTAAAATATTTCTCTAGCAAACATACCTTAAGTTTCCTTGGCCCATATCTACTGAATCGCTTCTTTTTGCCTGGTGTAAGCATTGTTATCACTTTATCCAGGCCTCTTTCAAGACTTCCAAATAGTTTGGCCTTCCTCTTCTTTTGGCTGCTCTGCACATGAGCTAGGTTGAGATCTAAATCCACAGAATGACACCTGTCACAAAACCAAATTAATTAGTGGCTTTTCCTCAGCAATCAGACAGCAGTTATTTCAGACACACTGTTAGAATATTGCCAGGTCTGACAGAATGAAGGAACAAAAGGAAATGTCATGTATTAGGAGAGTTTCTGCTTACAAGTTAGTTGAGCTTTAAGCTCAGAGATGCATTTTAGAACTGCAGCACTCAGGGAAAATGGAACAAGATGGGATTTATGTAATGAAAACAGGAATGCATTCTGAAGATGAGTGACTTCTAGTTTTAAATTTTTTTTTTTCCCTGCTTTCAGTGTTTCCCAGTGAATACAGAAAGAGGTTTTAGGAAGCTTTTAACCAAGATAAAGGAAATACAGCTTGCTGTTGTGAACAATGCTTCCTAGGCTGTTTGCTGATTAAGATAGCACTGCTCTAAACAGAAAACATGCACAGGTAACTGGACATTTACCTCTTCTCAGGAAGAACCTCAGCTGCTGTCAGTTCATACGTATTTGTTGGTATTTTGGGCTTCTTAACTGGGGTAACTGTGATGAACTGGATCTCTGAAAGAAAATATCCAAATCAGAGCATTTATGTTTTTGCACTGGAGGATTTATTTTTCTTCAGTCAGGATTTCTCATGATTAGCAATTATATTTTTAAAGCCATCCTCCTACGTATCTCTAGACTGCATCTCCAGAGTGACACAATAGGTTTTAACTGCTCTGCTCTGCCCCCATCTCCAGACAAACACTGAGGAATTTCCTACGTCAAAAAGTCACATTCCACATCCACTCCTTTCCTTAATGTGAAAGGTGTGGATTACATTACCACAGTTAATGCTACGTGTTAAGTAACAGCCTCAAAACTTCCATTATCCACACGTGGGAAAAGAGTTACGTGGAGCAGTTCTGAATTTGTGGAGCCAACTCGATGTAGAGCCCAGAGATTCGGCTTTAACAGCAGCAGTTGGCCCCAGACAGTGGCTGCTCAGCATTTCCTAAGATACTTCCACCATTTTCATCATGTCTCCAAGTACTGCTTTGGCCTATCCCAGTGTAAGAACTTCCAACAGAACAACAACATTTTAATTAACTCTCACAATATCTAACAAAAATGATACCATACTTCTGCGCTTCTCATTTAAGAAATACCTACTTTTAGTTTTTAATCTTACTGTAAGACCAGCATCACAAATTAAGTGCAGTCTTAAGACAAAAATGAAAGCTGTGTGAACAACCAGCCTTCATAATGTGCTTCGTTGAACACTTAACAAAGGACAGCAATATGTTCAATAACCCTTACTCACATATTAGCCTGCAAAGATCTAGCATCTCTGAGCAATATTTTCTAGCACTTGGAACAGAAGAATCTTCATTGTTAAGAAATGCTTAGTATTTTAAAGGGCAGAGTGAACACATGCAGTATCAACACTCAGACAGGCTGCAGACAAACATTTCTGTAGCTCAGAGGAGCTGATGTAGCATGGACACATTTCCGTGGTCCTTCACATAAATGCAGGCGTTACACTGCTAGCCTAAGTATTTTCAATGCCATGCTGAACAGATGTGTGGAAGTTTATGGTATGCTATCATGAGGAATCCAGTAGGTAACACTTCATTTAGAAGCAAGATGCAATAAAAGCACACATAAGTAAAAGCACACCCTTTTCTTTCACTCAAAACAGCCCAGAAAAAACAAAAACCATAATGAATGGTGAAGACATTTTCTACTGGATCTCCACGGACAGCGGAACCACGCGCCAGTTTTGGGAGCACAGCACTTGTCTCGTGATGGATGAATGAGGATGAGCGAGTGCATCCAAAGGCACGCTCCTTGGGCAGCTGTGAGAAGTGCTGCGACGAACAGATGAGTGCCCTGACAGCAGGTTGGACCACCTGCAGAGCACTGTCAGATGTACAGGCTGGTGAGCCTATGTGCTGTGACCAAAACCCCTCAAACCTGCATCTTCCAAAAAACAGAAGCCTGGGATCTACAAGTATTGTGTTCACATTTAAATTTCAAAAACGTCCAGGTTTTCGTTTGATACGACTTGCCTTTGGAAGGAGGTGCCTGAAAGGGCATGCCTTGTACTTGCTTGTCTGTCTCACTCCTTGCAAAGGAGGCCTTTGGAGCAGGAAGTGCGAAGGGCAGCTCGTTTCTTAGTGCTGACTCTGCATCAACATTCTCTTTGTTTGCGTGCTTTGGTGCCACTTTCCTCGTCACTGGAGTTGATGGTGTGAATTCCATACCACCCAGCTGAGCGTCATGCCTTGAGAGCTGCCAGAGATGTAACAAAAGGCATTTCAACCACATCCAGAGAAGTCACTGTCAAGGAAATTCTAACATCTAAGCAGGTCAGACACAATGCTTATAAAAATATCATTTGCTACTTGTCTATCGAGCAAAATAGTTAAAAACTCTCCAGTACCTCTGATTCTCTCCTAAAATGAGTTTGTTTCTTATAGATTGTCAAGTGCCATCTTTTAATTTGTTCATCTAAATTCTACATTTAGGATTAGTCCTCGCCAGCTTATCTAAACATAGCTATGAATTATTACTTGGTTTAGCTGCAAAATCTGAATTGCTTCACTGTGGATTTTCTTGTCCAATACAGAGAGATTGAATTTCTGTCAGTGCCTTTAAGGCTCTGTCCGCCTCTTGCCTAACTCCAAAATCTTACTAACTGTGCCTTATCACTTGACATTTTGTTTTAAAATCCTCACTGACTCCTTTACTCTTTCCCTTACTTGCTGTTTCTGTGCAAACCGAACACTGAAGTTAAGGTTCTCATCAAATGAACCATGGTCTACAGGTAGAAGCACCAAAATTTATGCTCAACACACTTCTTTGCTCAATCTGTATCTCCCTTCGGTCAAGGTCTGCTAGGTACTTAAATATGTAATAAGCATTCTATACAATGAGAAGTAGATTTCTGGATTAAGAATTGTGTTTTTCTGTCAGAAACCAGCACTGGATCTTCAGACACCTGCTTTGTTCTGTGAGTATTCAGAACAAACTCTTCCAGTGGAGATTCTTCAGACAGTGAAGCTGCATCAGAAAATTCCATGGATCCCAACGCATGTGGCTCATCGCTGCAACCTGGCACAGCTTCAGATGTCACAGCCTTTTCAGACTGAAAAGAAACGTTCAGTGGAGATTATTTTGCAGGATCGAAAGGAAGATTTCATCAGAAAAAAATAATACCAGTAAAATCTAAATATGATTGCCTTGCAAGTTCCTAACTATGGCTAGCAGCTCATGGAAGTCCACATGGCAGCAGCCCCAATTTTTGTATCACGTTCTTAATATTGTAATTGTGGATTTGACATTTGTATCAAGAGCAGAAGGGAAATTATTCTTAAAGCTCCAGTCATCTTTTACAACCTGTGTCAACAAGAGCAGCATCTCATAGCCTTCCATTTGGAGACTTGGACCACAAGCTCTTTTCAACAAAAGTCAAATAACAGCCTGGAAAGAACTGAAGAAAAGAATGCAGTGAGGTCTGAAAGTGGCTCACATGAAGGTAAGCAAGTCATATCCAAAACATAGGATTGTGCCATCTGCAGCACTGCTTGAAGCGCTGTTGGAAGCCTGTGAGCAAGCCCAGGTAAAAGTTCCTTCCTGAACCATGGAATCCAGTTCTTCAGTCAAGATTGCTAACCTTCACGTCTTACACCACGTGTGACTGTGGTATCAAAGTATCCTTTGTTTTAAGAGCTCGTTGTGGCTTCAGGAACATCTTTTCCATGGACTTATTTCATACCACTTCGCCACTATTGCATACAGCCACCTCATCAGTCCTGAGGTGGAAAGGAAGCATTTTTGGAAGCTATGCTCTGTTGACACAGAACAGAGACACAGTGTCTCCAGACCTGTGTTCATAGATATCACAATGTCTCATTACTAGTGAGAGCAGAAACAGCAGATCCAGGGAAGTTCTGGGAAGCTCTGTGATGACTTACTTAGGGTATTTTGGCAGGTTGAGATATTCACATGCATTATCTACAGGCAGGCAGGTAAAGTTTGTTCTGACTACTGTAGAAGGACTAATAGGCTGCTGCTTTATGTGGGCATGATTTTCACAACCGTATGCGAGGGCATCATGCATTTTTTAAATAGCAGGACTGGTCAGACCTAATTTACCTGGCACCCATTCCACAAGCAGAGACAGAGTAACGTCCCTGTTGCTGAACCCAGAAAAACCAATGATCTGGGTGTGAAAGACTAACCCACTGTGACCACAGAAATCACACTGTGTCTATTCAGCAGCTCTTATGATTCTTGATCTGTTCTGCACAACTAGTAATCTTAGAACTCATCAGTGTGACACAGCAGCTGTGTGAATGAACTGAAATGATTTACATGCAAGTGAATCAGATGCATAATAATGTACTTATTTGGAGAGCTTGTCTTTACACAAAATAGCATGTTCAGCTAGCTAGCTACCAATTTTACACAGAAATCCAGAGTTCAAGTAATGGTTTATATTATAGCTGCAATTCTACTGAAAGCTTTCATCAAACACCTCCCATATGTGGAAGGGCTGAGAGAGCTAGAGCTCTTCAGCCTGGAGAAGAGAAGGCTCCAAGGAGACCTTGCAGTGGCCTGCCAGTATCTGAAGGGGGCCTACAGGAAAGCTGGGGAGGGACTTTTTATAAGGGCAGGTAGCAACAGAATGAGGAGAAATGGCTTTAAACTGGAACAGTGTAGGTTTAGACCACATATTAGGAAGAAATTCTTTACTGTGGGGCAGTGAGACACTGGAACAGGTTGCCCAGTGAGGTTGTGAATGCCTCCTTCCTGCAAGCATTCAGAGCCAGGCTGGATAGGACTTCTGTGCAACCTGGTCTAGAGGGAGGTATCCCTGCCTATAGCTTGGGTTTGGAAGTAGCTCATCTTAAAGGTCACTTCCAATCCATACCATTCTATGATTCTATTCTATGATTGTATATTCATAAGACTCTTCTTGTTCTCTAATTTGTTGTGCTGCTTGAATAGAATAATCTTGCACAGAATTTGCTTAGAAGATGCAGTTAAATTTGCTGAAGCCTGAGGACGCTGGACTTTCACCCAACTGCAAGCAAGGAAGGTCACAGAGCTTACTCTAACTGCAAGATAAGGAAGCAAGAAAGATGAAATTGAGACTCTGCAAGCATTGGCAGATCTTATAGTCCTGAAGATTGGAGAAAACAGCCCACCAAGAAACAATGAAAGGAACCAATCCAGAGCAGAAAGATCTCCAACCTCCATAGAACTATTGGTCTACATGACTGAGTGAGAGGTTGGGAACATGCAGCAAAAGGCCATTTCTTTGTGCAAGGTCCTTCTTCAAGGGCAATCACCTCGAGTTTCTTGTGTAACTTCAACTCTGTATGGCTTTTATTTGCTTTGGTGGGGAACCAACCACCATCCTAAGAAGCCTGTATCAGCAGCTGCAGCACTAACAGTAAAGAAGTGTTTCCTATTGTCTGGTCTGAACCTCCCCTCGTGCAGCTCAGTGCCATTCCTGCTCTTCCTGTCATTGGTTCCCAGGTAAACACAGCACCTTCCTCTGCACTTTGCTCTTCAGGGAGTTGCAGAGAGCAAAGAAGTCATCTCCTGGCCTTCTCTTCTCTGGACCAGGCAATGCAAGTGCCCTCAGCCTCTCCCCAGAGCAAACACCTTCCAGTCCTGTTAGCAGCTTCGTTCCCCTCCTCCTGGCTGCCAGGGCACGCCACTGGCTGGTGTTAAACTTGCTGTCACCACCACCTCTAGACCCTGTCCTGAAGTACTGCTCTCCAGACACTTGTCTCCCATTCTGTATCTTTGTCCTTATTCCATTGCTGGTACAGTGTCTGGCATTTTCCTCTGCTGAACTCCATGCCACTGCTGATTGCCTAATGCTCTGATCTATCTAAATTCTTCTGCAAGGCTTCACATCCTCCAGGGAGCCTCCAGCACTTCCCAGTGAAATATCATCAGAAAACCTGCAGAGGATGCACGCCTCGCCTGCATCCAAGTCACTGATTAAAATGTTGAACAGGATTGGCCCAGAAATGGAGTGTTGGGAACACCACTAGTGAGAGCCCACAGTAGATGTAGCCCCATTCACTGTGACTCTTTGAGCTCTGCCACTGAGCCACTCAGTACAGCCTGTACCTGCCCATCTCACATTTGGATGACTTGTCTGGAAGGATGCCACGAGGGATCAAAGGCCTCCCTGAACTCTAGAAAGATCACATCCTCTGCCTTCATGCACAAAGTGGGCGGCCGTATCATACAACAAGATTTGATGACCAAGACTGGCTGCACACATCTCTTACAGATGTTTGGGCCACCAGGCTGTTTACCCAGGCAGAGCTTCAGCACACAGCAGCATTTTCACCAGAACGTTGTGCTGAACTCTAGAACTTACCCCCAGGCTTGCTGGCTGTGTTGTACTGGCATGTGCTGTTTGTGATGGAATCCTTAAGTGGATGCGCTTGCCACGAACCTTCCTGGATTGAAGCAAGAGATAGGTTGCTGACATCTGGTCATAGTTCCACTAGAAAACAAGAGTATTTAGATCTCTTCAGAGAAGTTGTCAGTGCAAAGAAAGCTTAGTGTTCTAAATGTTTCTGCATGTCTGGAATATTTTCCCCTTGACGTGCAACCTTCACGTCTGAACACATTGGGGTAGTTTCAGACCTTAGTGATTCACACAAGTTTAAGATAAAGAAGCAGACTGCTCTCGTTTTTGCTTGAGAGCAGTACAATTGCTGAAAGTGAAAAGTGAAGCTGGTGCCAGAATCTCTCTACTGAAGTGAATGGCAAAGCTCCTATTAATGCATTTTGCACAGTATTTCAGCTGGACTCCCATTTTTGGGGGCCATCTTTCAGCCCAGCTCCAAGGAACATCAACATTCAGCTTGATTTTCAGCAGCTTTTTGACTACTATAAGAACCATGGGTAAATTGCTTGACAGACTCACAGTGCAGTACAATTGGCTTGAATTACTTATAAGGCATTAGCAGTCCTTTGATAAGAAACTGTGAAAACATCACAGACTAATATGGAAGAACTCCTTCCCCTTGGAGGTAGATTGTTCTCATTATTTCCTGTACCTGAAGAAAAGTAGCAGTGACTCCACAAATGATCTCTCCCAGGTAAAACTTACATTTTACATCTATTCCTACTAAAGTTATATGGAAATCCTAACAATCCTTCCAAATTCTACCACTTTCTATTTAATAGAAAGACAATTCAACTCCAAGGAACAATTTCTTCTACAGCTTGGAATATCATTATTTACATTTACACAGCATCTCTAGAAGCACTCAGTTTAGCTTTCCTCATTTATTTTCAAAAGTTGCTGAAATGGATTCATTTCTTTTAGAGTTTGTGAGTTGTAATTCCCAAAACTTGCTTGGTTGTCTGAGTGAGGTGTTGATATTGTCCACTTATTAATGAAACATTTCAAAGCAGTGAGTTCAGCCAGCACGTGACAACTGCTATTTATCCATAAGTTTCTGTTTTGAGTCTATCTGGACTTCCAGAGATTCCTAAGAATTTTAGCATGGTAGAAAATAACAGAAAGCCTTAGAAAACACAATTAAAGGAGAAAAATAGAATAAATGTGAACTTCAGAAATGTAGTTACTAGCTACAGATAGACTGTGGAGTTCAGCAGAGGTACCTCAGCTCTGAAAGGTATGAAATATTTCACGTTTGAGAATAAGTGAGCATTAGAGTCTGTTAATACAGAAAGGTTATTTACTCTAGTAGTGAGCTTAAATACAGTAAATTACTGACATACATTCATTACCTCTGATATTAATGCTGATATACTCTCTCTGCTCTGGTTGTGAAACACAGAAAGCTCTGTCACACAGTCTTCATCAAGGTGCCCCAGCTGCAAGAACAAGACCTATACTGAAGAAACAGCTTCCAAGTCATCTCACAGAGCCAATATCACCACGATAGTCTTCTGATATGCAGCAATCAAGCCAACATTTAGCCACAATTCCAGATTTTCTATTTTAAATAGTTAGCATCAGGGCTAAATACTGCAAGGAGTAAACAGAAAGAGTCACCAAACTTCAGCAACTGGTCCCTCAGTGGCAGCAGGTTCTGCATTCAAGTACAAAAGCCTGTCAGCAGATGAGATTTTCACTAGAGCACAAGTTACACCTCTATCCCCTCTTACTTATTCAGTTGCACGGCATGCACAGCACAGTGCTGTACGACCAGCACAGCTGTTCTTCAGAGAAGCAGTGGCACCCAGAGGCCAGCAGCAGCCATTGGCTGCAAACACACAGCAACTTCTCAGTATCTACACAAGAATCTCCCTCACACACCCAATTCCCACCCCCACCCCAACCCCCATCCCAACCTTCCAGAGAATCACAGAACGCCTTGAGTTGGAAGGGACCTTAAAGACCATCAAGCTCCAAGTTGCAAAGCTGCAACTCACCAGATCAAACTGTCCAGGGCCTCATTCAACCCAGCCTTGAGTACCACCAGGACGAGACATCCCCACCTCCTGTTTTACCCACTGCACCTCTCAGCACGGGGCTGCCTGCAAACTTTCTGAAGTGCTCTCTAGTTCCATTCCCTCTGTCACTGACAAAGGTGTTGAAGGTGCCAAAATGGACCCTGAGAGTCAGCACTTGTCAGCAGCCTCTGAAGAAATGTGTTATCTCTCCCATTCTGTGAGGATGCCACTGGTCCAGAAAAGATTCCAGAACATACTTAGGCTTCTTCAAGTGTGTGTACTTACTGGGTATTTGCTTTGCCACTGAACAGCATCAGAATAACCTTGCATGAGCCAAGGGTGATTTAACAGGTGCTTAACTGTAATCCGCTTCTTTGGGTCTACCTAGTGGGCAGCAACATTCAAGCTGTTACTTTCATCATCAAGAACTGCGGACAGTTATTCTTTTCCTAAGAACTTCAAGGTGCCAGAAGCACAAATAGAGCCCAGCAGTATTTATTCACTTCACCAGAAGGAAGGTCAAACACCTGAGCTGTGAAAAGCAGCTACAGCACCTATGGTTACAGTAAATGTTCCACGAGCATTTTGTGTTTTTGACTGCGTAGATGCAGCCCCAAGGCACACTCAGTACGTTCAGCTTCCTTTATGAAACATCTTTTGTTTACAGATCACTTTTAATTACACAGCACAATTAAGAACATTCAAACGCAAGCTGCTTGAAGACTGATTAATTATTGAAACTGTAATTATTTCTATAACCAGTAAGTAGTACTACGTTATTGAGAATTTTCAGCACAAGGCAATGCTAACCTTTTCTTCAAGGATATCAGGCGTGGAACAGTTTAACTTGTTTAAACACTGAATATTTTCCAAGCACTCCATCAATGTTTTGAGCTGATGCAACAGCATTTTGTACATCAATCTGAATAGAAGCAGCTCTTTTACCTGTAGCAGTTGGTTAAGTAGCAGCGTGCTGCTGGGGGAAAGCCATTTTGGAACAGTGTATTTTCCTCTCTGCAGTAAAAAAGTTAATGAAAACAAAATAACTGTAATAAAAGAGGATCTAGAATGAACCTTGAACAACTAGCTCAAAAGGACTGTCATATTATTTGGATGATATTGACATCTCTTTTCTTTCGAAGCGTAGGAACAGACATGCAAACTGCTTTAAGAATAGCTTGAATAAATTAATGGTAAAAATTAACACGTACTTGGCTGAGGGCAATGCTGGAAGGGGAATTGCTCACAAGAGCTACAAAATGGTAAGATCACACCAGAAATACTTTGTGCTAACAACAGTTAAGGCACACAGTCCATTTCCTGAAGTATTCCCAAAATGAAGTGATGTGGAGCATTACAGGGAAAAGAAGAGTGCACACAGATGCTGTGATCCTGATTGGATTCAAGCAGTAGACTTAAACCAGTGCTGAGTTTTAGACTCCAGGATATTTCAGGATCTGTAACGTGTGACAGTCAATGACACAACAATGCCTCGGTGTCTGCATTTCAAGCACTTTTCAGATCACAGCCACATACAATTAAAACAAATTCAGTGCAGAAATAGCAAGCCAGTATCTTAATACTTGTGAGATCATCCATTTTTTACTGCATTCTGACTCAGTTCTGAAACTTGCTCATCCCAGTTCACTTAAGCAAGTTCCACCAGTTCAAGCAAAGCAGCTCTCAGCTCCTGTGTGCATCAGACAGACAGAACTAAATGGTGCAGAAACAATCCTGGACAGCTTTAAGAGCTCCATTCTGCTTACAAACTCTCAGTCCAAAGCTATCCACAATTTCAAGGCAACGAACACCAGAAGCAGTTGGATCATTTGCCATTTGCCACATTCTGCATCTTGGAGTAATGATAAGCACAAAGGGTTTCCTGCAGTCCTGCAGAAATGGACAAAGTCCTGCTTACAAATGGACAAAGTCTCAATGCACACACAGTTCACACCAGCCCAAGCAGCCGTGTCACTTGATTCACACGCTCAGGTTGTTATGCACTCTGACAGGAAACAGAACCAGCTGCTGAAATTTGAAGGGAATCAATGGGGTCCTACATTTCCTCCTGATTCTGGAAGAGGAAATTCTGATAGCAGATGCAGAACTTTGCTCTTCCAGGACATGAGAAGAGCTGGCATTTAATAACATAAAGAAATATAAATGAATAAAATTCATTTCAGGTAAATCAGACAATGCAATTATATTTTTACTACAGGTAGTATAGGGAGCAGCCAGTTGAAGAACCAGACACAAAAATCTAGCCCACTGGCAAGAAAATACTTCTCCTTAAACTCTGTATGCTATCATATTATAGAATACAGTGCTGTGCTAGCCAACCAAGTGTAGAACCAAATCCACAAAACAGTGGTGGAAAAAGCAGCAAAAAGAGGGGCAATATTCAGCAGACAGTCCTTTCCACCCACAGCACAGCTCAGCGTGTTCTGCCATCAGAAAAGCAAGGCCTCTTGTCATGCTCAGCTATTTCCCTTCTCAGTGTATTCTAGCACCACTGATACTTACTGTTATCCTCCTGTAGAGTGCCATCACATTGTCATCATCAAAAGGAAGAAAGCCACACAACAGAGCATACAGCAGTACACCCATGCTCCAAATATCTGCCTAAAAAACAAAAGGACAAGTTTACAAACCTGGAGCACCTAAAATGGCTTACTGACAGACTGTGTTGTCTGCCCTTACCAAAGGCCACATATAGCCCAAGAAAAGCTGGCTCTTTCCCTCAGGAAAAAAAACTTATGGTCTCAGAGAAAGCATAGGACCTTATTCAATTGTTCTTCCATTTAACTTAAAGCACCACTAAAACTACTACTATCTTCATCTTAACTCATCACCCTGCTGCAGTGCCTTCTATCTACAAGGATTTCAGTGGCAAAAACGAAATCAAACCCATCAGAAGGGATTTGGCACAGTTACTGGCTACAGCGAGAGCTGCCAGCACAATCACCTGTGAGGCTCTGCTGCTGTTCTCTTTATCTATAGGAACAACAAGGTTCATACACCTCACAATTCTCACTTTGACTGTAAAGAAGGAGGCTTGAAAAGCAGTCTGTGGAAAACAAAGCAAGAATTAGAAGCCAACAGCAGTGGTGCAATGGTACCTGAAAGAATTGCTCCATCTTTAACAGCAGAGCAATTCAAGAAGTATGAGGGAAGTATGCCCTAGACCAGTTTGGACAGATGAACAACTGCAAGTAGTGGGTTCCAAAATCCCAGATATGAAATCAAAGCTGGAAAAACTCCTCACGTTTTCGTCTCTCAATTTTTAGTACGTTGTGCATTACAATGGAAGCAAGTCTTCACACACAGCTTGGAAGCTAAAGACAAGTCTGACAAAACATGTAAGATCCTGAGACCGCACAAAAGTTTGACAAATGATGGATAATTAACAGAGCAAATTGCTCTTTCAGTGGCTTAGTAATAGAAGGAGATCTCTGAAGTTGCTGTTTTACAGAGCCCCAAAGTAGGGAACAATTGGTGGAAACAGATGAGGATCAGCCAGAGACAAACCAGCCAGCTGTGTGAACTGCAGCCCATTGCACTTTTCAGCCTGTGGCCACTGACAGCTTCTGAGAGCCACTGAGCAACGCAACCCAGAATTCAGGAGGGAAACCAAGTGAGTGCTTTTCCACTGCCTTTAAACGCTCTCTGGGGAGGGAAAGAGGGGAGAGGTGCAAAGCAAACTCTGGTCTGCATACCTCTGAGCCAATATAGGCTTTGCCCTGGATAAGCTCTGGTGCTGCATATGCTGGGCTCCCACAACACGTGTTCAGGCGGTAATCAAGGCCTCCCTGGAACAGCACAGAAAACAGAAGAGTTTGCTTTAACAGAGTTCATGCTTTCTAGTAGTGACACTTGAGAAGCCTCAGAGGCTTCTTCTCCTGAGCATATTTTCATTCACTGTAATTTTGCTTCCAATAGATGACCTCACTGAGCAAATATTGTCTAAGACAATATACGAGTACTGTATAAATGTACAGATCCCAAGCTGCTCACTTATCTGATGTATCCTTGGCATGATGCATTATTTTCCTTAGCTGATCATCTACTAAGGTGAACTGTCTGTGCAAACACAAAACTGAGAAAGAAGCCATGCAAGAGCTGTTGTGTTTGAGTTGCAGGTCATTCAGAACAATCCAAAGCAATAACTTTACAAACTTCACAAAGAACAACTGATAGAATACTTCCTTATTCAGAGGATCCTACTGCTTTACTTGGGTTTTGTTCTAAACAGGTCAGAGCAAGATGACATTATACCATTGGGACAACAGCCTGTTGGCCTTGATTACCTGCAAGAGGCTCTAAATTTGGCCAGGAAAAGCGATTTGAGGGTAAGTAATTCTGTTTGAATCAGGAAGGCACCCTTCCCATTAAATTCTTTCTTACCAGCACCCATCTGGCATGTTAAGTAAAGGCTCCTAGAAAGCAGTTTTAAGATCAAGAAACAATTCAGTTCAAGCATATGCAACCACAGGATCTGTATGTCACCTGCAAAACTCATTTGGTTCTATCCACAATCTCAACCTACATGCAGTTCCTTAGAAGAGATAATGGCATGCCAGCCCAGTGCTCCTATGACAGGCCCTTGCATAAGGCAGGTGACACACCTACAAGATCATCCACAACTTAGACTATGAAAATAGGAAGTCTGGGTAGAGAAAAGAATCTGTGCTTCTGAGCAATCTGTTCACCACTCTCACACAGCTAAGGCCCCTCCAAGCAAGATGCAACTGCATGTCAACCACAGAAGCAGCTTGAATTTAAGGTGCTTGGGCAAGTCCCTGTTGCACACTGTGGTCAAACATGCATTACTTGGGGGCACATCATATTTGATTTAAGATACTCTTACCTTTGGCTTTGCACAGAGCCCAAAGTCTATCAGCTTCAAATTATGTTTCTCATCAATTAGCAGATTTTCCTGGTGAATGAAAAAGCAGTCAGGAATGATTTTCACCTGAGTGTCCAAATAAACTTATTTTCTCTTCTGTTATTTCTTGTTGTGGTCGCTGATTAGCAGTCTACTAAAAGCCCTCTCTCTCTCTCAGAGATTTTCACTGACTGCTTGCAGGTACCCATCTTCCAATACCCAGGTGGGAAATACTGGTTTGTCTCTATTAGCAAGGGCCTGGGGACTAGGAGGACAAGTGGTGAAAGAGCACAAGATGAATGCAAGCCAGCAGTGCGTTCTGACAGAAAAAAAAAGCACAACAATATAATTGGCTGCATTCAAAAGCAGCACAACCAGACCAGGACAAGTCACCCCTGCTTCACACTCATTGGATCACATCTACAATACTGTATCTAGTTTTTGGCCAGGAAGGATAACAACCTGAAGCAAATTCTGTGATTGGCCTCCAGTCTGTGCAGGGAGCTGAAGCTCCCACTCAGTGAAGAGAAACTGGAGAGAAAGATGTTTGTTTAAAGCCTTATGGCAGCTTCTAAACGCCCACAAGGGAGGCACGAAGACAGACTGAGCATCTGTACAGCAGGTCATGGTGGGAGAGTGACAGAAAAGTCATTCATGGAAACAGCAGACTGGACACAAGGAAAAAAAGTTTTTGAATCGCTGAACAGAATGCCCAGAGAGAGCATGCAGCCTCATCCCTGGGAGAGGAAAATGGAAAAAGCTCTGAGAAACTTGGTCTCAGGATTCTTGGAGCAGCAGATTCAGTAACAGAATCACAGAATGGCCAGGGTTGGAAGGGACCTCAAGGATCAAGAATCTCCAACCCCTCTGCCACATGCAGGGCCAGCAACTTCCCCATTTAATGCTAGCCCATTAGGTCCTGTAAATCTCTTCCACTACTAGGAGGCTAACTGGACATTGATTGGTAGGTGGTGAGCAATTGCTTTTGCATTCATCATAACTGTTATCTTTTCCCTTTTCTTTATCTCAGTAAATAATTTTATTTCAGTCCGTGAGTTCTGTTTTGTGTTGTTTTTTCCCCCTTCAATTCTCCCCTGCAATCCACTGGAAAGGAGTGGAGTGAGTGAAATACTGTGTGATACTTCACCACCTGCCAGGCTAAACCACAACAAAGGGATAAATCACTCTCTCTCCCAATGGAAAAATAAAAACACATTCATTATTCTTTATGAAAGACTGAATGCAGTTCAGACTTACTGGTTTCAGGTCTCTGTGGGCATAACCCTGACTGTGAACATAAGCAATTGCTGAAACAATCTGTCGGAAAAAGACTCGAGCTTCCTCTTCTGAAAGGCGGTCCTTAGAAACAATGTAATCAAACAGCTCCCCTCCAGGACAATACTGTGATACAATACAACCAGAAAGGTAAAGTTATCTGAAAACCTATTTAGAACGGATCAGAGGAAGGTAAGTAACAATGAGAGCACAGAAAGCACCGTGCAGCACGTGCAGGATGCTCTTCCATGCCCTGTGCTCAATCAGAGCAGAACACGAGCGCCCCAGTTATGCCATGGGCCACCACTGCGGCAGACCACACAAAGGAACCTGACCCTTGCCTCCAATCTGGTAACTGAGGCACTGCACTCAGTGTCGTGGGTGGCACAAATCACTCAGGAGGTGGCAACAGCTTGGGGGCTCTGGTGTCCTGCACACCTTGCAGATGCTACTTTAAAAAACCAAAACGTAAGCTAGGAATTAAAACCAGTTCCCTTACTGTGAATGCTGATTAGGGGCTTTTACAAAAAGACAGAATACAGAACATTTTCTACTTAATTTTAAAACCAATGAATCTTGAACCCATTCACCATTGAGATATTTAAGAATCATTTCATGTCAGCTTCATTTTCGTATTATTGTCTATGGCTAAAGATAAAAACAATACCTTAAGCATGGCAGAATTTCTTACCTCCAAGACCATGAATATTTTCTTTGATGTCTCTATGACATGATACAGTCGACAAACATGTTGATGACTCAAGTTCTTCATGGCATCAATTTCTGTTTTAACACGAGGCAAGTCATCCTAAAGAGACCATAAAAGCAAGCTATGAAATCACCAATTTGGCATACCAGGAACCACATCTGACTGCTGTGGAACATAAGAAGTCCAAGCATGTATGTGACAGTACACAATTCATGGCTCAGTACTCCCATAGGAATTCTGGATCACATCTGCAAAAACTGAAGTGTAAAAATCTAGTGTTTTCATTAGCATTTTGTTAAAGCTGCTGTAAAATGGAGGAAGTTCAACATCATTACAGCCAGAGAGCATTGCCCTCTGAACAACGAGGCACAAGATTTGTGGTGTTCTGTTGAACTTTTTCCAATCCTACAGCATCCTTCAGAAGGCAATGGCACTAGCAGGCTGCATTTCTTTATATCACCTCCCTGTGTTCTTGAGAACTCCACAGCTCCAACAGAAGGCGTTATCATATTTAAATATCTTTTGGCTTACCCCTAACGCAACTTTGTCCATGATCTTTACTGCAACTTTTTCACCAGTAAGAAGATGCCGTCCGAGTTTTACCTTTGCAAAACCACCTAAAATTCAAAATACAGATGCTTAAAGTTGAGTGTGAATTCTTCTCTAATATAAAGTTACAGGGAAAGCAGAGTACCTAGCATACATTGTGTGTAATGTTTTAATTAGAGGACAAGGTGATCAGCATAATCAATTTCCAACTGGTTTCAAAATTCAATTTCAAGTTTATACACGTGAAACCTGACATAGGGATCTTATAAGAGCAGTTGATCTATTCTAAGATAAAGAGAGTGGTGAGTCAGACTGTTAGCACGCTGTTTTTGTGCAGAGATCACGCTTACCCGTTCCAATTGTTTCATGTAATTCATAGTACTTGAGAATTTCCTGGTAGTCGCTGACAGACATCCTGGATTCTGCAAGACCTTGAGATCCTCCAAGCACCTGCAGTGAGGAAGAGCCAGCACCGTTCTCATCCTACTTAGGACACACTCTTAGAAGCAGAAGGGACACTTCTGGCAGCTCCAGCACTGCCCATCTCCTCACCAAGGCGCGTCCCCTCTCACCTAGCAATAACAAATCACACTGCATGGCTCCGACTTCCCTTATGCTAACTGTATAAAACACCCCTCAGGGCTTTGTGCTGCACAGCAGCAACAGGGTTGGACTACAGCTTTCAGAATCACAGAATCACAATGTTGGAAATGACCTGCAAGATCATCTAGTCCAACCGTCCTCCCACTGCCATTGCTAGCACAAGCACTAAACCAGATCTCATAGCTCCTCATTCAGACGCCTATTGAACTCTGCCAGGGACGGCGACTCCACCACCTCCCTGGGCAGCCATTCCAGCGCCTGACCACTCCCTGAGAGAAAATGTTCTTGCTTATGTCTAACCTTAACTTCCTCTGGTACAACTTGCAGCCATTTCCTCGAGTCCTGTTTGTTGCCAGGGAGAAGAGGCCATACCCCTCACATCACAACCTCCCTTCAGGGAGTTGTAGAGTACAATGAGGTCTCCCCTGAGCCTCCTCTTCTGCAGACTGAACAATCCCAGCTCCCTCAGCTGCTCCTCATTAGACTTGTGCTCCAGACCCCTCACCAGTTTCGTTGCCCTTTTCTGGATACACTCCAGGGCCTCAATGTCTTTCTTGCAGCGAGGGGCCTAAAACCAAACACAGCACTCGAGGTGCAGCCTCACCAGAGCTGAGTACAGGGGGAAGATCATCTCCCTGCTCCTGCTGGCCACATTATTTCTAATGCAGGCCAGGAGGCCGTTGGCCCTCTTGGCCACCTGAGCACTTTGCTGGCTTGTGTTCAACCAAGCACCCCCAGGTCCCTTTCCTCTTAACAGTCAGCCAGCCATTCAGCCCCAAGCCTATAACGCCGCATGGGGTTATTGTGGCCAAAGGGCAGGACCCGGCACTCGGCCTTGCTGAACCTCATTAGGAAGCAACGGGAGCCTTTCCCCATAGGGCCAAGCGGCCCAGCAGCGCTCTGTCCGTTAGCAGGGCCGTCTCAGCTCCGATCCCACCCCGCGCGCCGCTCCGGCTCAGCGCAGCCCGGCCTTTCTGCAGGCCGCCCGAAGAAGGGCCGCTCCGCCCGATGAGCCCCGCCGCCTCAGCGCAGACACACGGAGCGCTGCTCCCAGCCCCCCAACCCCCTTTCCAGGACGACCCGGCCTCTGCCACATACCTGAACCGCGCTCGGACGGCTGCCAGGACCGCAGCGCCGGGCCGAAAGCGAGCGGGGCAGCCGGCAGCTGCACAGAAGGCGCCCGGACTGCAGCTGCGTTTGAACTTCGCTGTCGGAACACTCACTTCCGGCCGGGAGAGAGGATGGACCAATCACCGCAGCGCCGTAACCGGAACTGCTGGTGTCGCGCAGTGCATGACGGGAGGAAGGTAGAAACGGGATGGGGGTGCGGTGCCACAGCGGCGCCATGTTGGGTGGGTCTCCGGCTCCACTGCAGGGCCGAAGGGAGATGGATGCGGTGGTGAAACTGAATTTATGCAGCCCAAGGAGGCCTGGATTGCCGCATAACGCACGTTAATGATGAATCTCAGAGCCGTTTTATCACTGCCCCCCAAGTGCACTTCAAGTGCTTTAGGAGCATCAGTGGAATTTTGAATAAACTCAGCATATTTTAGCAAAGCTGCAACAACTGCATGACAGAACTATGGGAAAAAAATAATCTGTAACGACTGTTGGATAGTGTTATTTAATGATCATCTGGTAATTAAATTAACCAAACCAAGGGAATCACCTCCCAGCCAATCAGCTCCCAGCCAAGCAGGTGCAACCTGTTGGTTGCACGAGCTGCTCCTACACTCCAGGGCCCATGGAATCTTACCAAGGGGTCTCCAAGGACTCCCCTGTTGACCTCTGGCTTCCAGTGCCCTTAATGTGCCATAGAGGTTCCTCAGGGCCCCACAGTTTGCTCTGCAGATATCCAGACGCCCCAGAGCAATCATGTGTGCTTCAGGGGGACCAAGAGACATCTCAGAGCACCCTAGTGCCTTCTCACAGCTCCTCGGTGTGCTCGAGGGCTCTTCAGCTGTTTCCAAATATTTCCAAATATGCCCTGCCGTGCCTCCAACAGCCGGCTCCCAATGACCGCACCTGCGCACGGCAGCTCAGCCAACCGCAGCTGGCAGAGCTACTGCGGATCAAGGAATCCCCGGAGGAGGGGCAGCGCTGCCGCTGACCAATGAGAAGCCGGGTTTGGGTGAGCTCGTTCTGCTGCAGCGTGATGATGACAGGGCTGCAGGTAAACTGCGTGGGAAGCTCGTAGGTTGGGAGCCAGTAATGGACACGGCACGAGGAGGGAGGTGTTAGGGAGCAGCCAAGGCATCAAAATGCATCAAAAAGCCCTGAAAGGCATCACAAAGCCACCGCCAGGAAGCTGGGCTTCATGCACCCCACAGCCTCAGCGTTGCAAGCTGAGGTGCCTTGCTGTGTGCCGCATTCATCCCAGTCCCCAGGAATGAAGACTCCACAGGCAGTCAAGGCGTTGAGTGAGTATAAGTGTGCTTTTATTATTAAAGGAAAACACAGGAGGGCATGAGAGGTCCAGGTAAAGATGGGAATTGTCCTCTCTTGGGTGGAAAGCTCAAGGAGAGAGTGGCTCAGAGCTGTCAGTGTTGATGTCCGGTGCCTGGGACTGGAGGCTGGATTCCAAGTCTCCCTCCAAGAGGCTCTGCTGCTCCTCGCTGATGCTGACCTGCTCCTGTATGGAGGTGCTGCTGTCGGGGCACCTGGACTGTGCTTGGGCTGGGCTGCACTGCAGAGGCACCGGGTCACAGTCCAGGCTGGTGACTGTGGTCTCTGGCAGGCTCAGGTCAGCCTCTTCAGCACAGCTGGGAGAAATGAGGGCTTGAACTTGGATGAGCTGCTCGTGTCCATCAATGTTGTTATGTGGCAGGCTGTCAACTGAACCACAGCCATTTGTGCTACCTGCGATCTCTCCACTGGTGGAAGCATAAAGCCCAGCTTCGCTACTTGCTCCAACTCTGCTCAGTTGACAAGAGCTCGAATCACCTATAAAAGAATGAACAGGGGTTGGTGTCCAACTCTCACAAGCTGAATTACGAAAGTGGTTCTTGATCAGGGGAGAACTGAAGGTGTTAGGTATGGTTGAGAACGCTAGAAGGAGATACAAGCCCACTGACAGCAAGAATTCTATGTTGCTGAGAAGCAGAGTTTTGGAAGCAGAATTTGTACCCTTACCTCCCAGGACTACAATGTCTGTTTCTGAGGGCTCCCTGGCATTGCACTGCAGTTGGCGTTTGGCCCCAGAAGATGGTTTTCCCAGGCTGAAGCAGGAACACCAACAGCCAGGTGGTGATTCCTTTATCTTGCTGGGTGGACTTGGTCTGGAGAGAGGAAACAGGGAATGGTGTGAGCCGTGCGTGGTGCAGGGTGATGCAAGAGCTGCACTGAGCTCTTGTCAACAGTTGCTTGTTCCTAGCACCGCCTGGTTCCTGCTGAAACACAGCTTAGAAACTTGCTCTGTTTCCAACAATGGCAGATGGTTCCATTCCTATAACTCAGCCCTGAAGTCTTGCTGGCTAAATTCCCCTCAACTGTGTCAAGAAAGATGCAGAGCATGTGAGGTCCACAGGCTCCACACCTGTACAGGACAGCATCTAAGGGATGGCTTTGATTGAGCTGGCAGGCATAACTGCTGGCTGAGGAATTGCACAGCCATAAAGGAACTCCAAAAGCATCTCTGACTCTGACACTGACAGCTCATCGGCCCCATCTCACTGCCATGTCTAGTTTCTAGTGCCAGCAGGTCTGACCAACAGCTCTGCTTCGAGGAGAACCGGAATTGGATTCAGGCACGTGGCCCTGAAGTCCAGAAAACCCCAACGTCTCCAGGTACAGCCAGCACAGGCCAGGGTCGACGTCAGCATGGCTTTATGCATCTCGTCACTGCCTGCCCAGCAAGGAAGGAATGCCAGCCTTGTGTGGCTAAACTGAGCCCGGCGGGCAACTGAATGTGAGTTGAATCTCACAGTGCAAAGGGAGTGGAGATTCACTGCAACACTTCAGGCACCATCATTTTAACTGAGTTTCAGCAAGCTTTGGCACTAGAAATAATGGAAAAAAAGCAAAAACAAACCACAAAAACCCACCCAAACAATGATGATAAGGTACTGGAAAAGGAAGTCCTCTTTACCTTTCAGATGGAAAGTCGATGACTGTGTGGAATTTCCCCCGTACAGCTGTGGGGCCTTC